ATTTGACATGGAATCCTCACGGTGCCTTCTGCTCAACAACATGTTCTACGGCGGCTTCTGAACCGTCGATGATAACAGGGTTGAAAATATGTGCACCGGTGTGAATCTTTCATCTGCAATATGTCAGGTGACGCTCTTTCATCGAAACAGGCTGAGAGAAGAAGGATGGAGTTGCACTTGGTTTACTTTAGCCTGCGATGTGCTTTGACTGTGTATTGTTGTGTCCTCTGGAATTATTTAACACTGTGTTTTGGCAAACCTCTTCTCAAAGTTTCGGCTCTACTTTCTCATCACAAAGATCAAAAATCTCAAAATGGTTTCTCAAATACCTCCTGGTAGTTCTGATCTTCTGACTGATAAGCATGGTCTCAACTGTGAATTCCTTATAATAAATTATTGGTTTGCCGGAGAATCTTGTCTGTGCATCCAACAATGACGCAGACAGGTCTACAATGCAGTTACTTGAAAGTCAGGTGTATCGAAAGGGCGACTTGCACGTCGGTCTCAAGCACCGGAGGACATGACAAATCGTCTGTAACACAGTAATGCTGACTTTAAAACCAAAACAATGAGCTGACTAAGAATATCTGTAGCGCTCACAGGAACTGCAGAGTTGTTGATAAAACTCAACAAGCAAAACACATTTCATGCTACAATTCAATTCAATTAATTTTATTTTGTATAGCCCAAAATCGCCAATTACAAATTTGCCTCAGAGGTCTTTACAGTCTGTACACATACGACATCCTCTGTCCCGAAACCCTCAAATCAGCACAGGAAAAACTCCCCAAAAAATGAAAAAACCCTCAGCAACAAAAGGAAGAAACCTTAGGGAGAACGTCAGAGGAGGGATCCCACTCCCGGGATGGACAGACTACAATGGATGCCGTGTGTACAGAATGAACTATGTATAATACATTCAATTCCTACATACAACTTCACACGGTGCCAACAGTCCAGACTTTTTATAATGGTGATCCCTCCTTCAAGTTCAAGTGCACTCGTGCCCACGAGCTTCGCTCAAACATGAGGCAGATGGATTATCTTCAAAGACGTCGGTCACGTAGAGACGTTTCGATGAACAGATTTGAACTCTGTGTACTTATATTGTCCTGTGCAACTACAAGATTCTGTACATTGAAATTCATTGATATTTAGTGGACCTCTTTCCTTTGTGTGATGGGACAGTATGTTGCTGCATAACGTGATTTCAATTTCAACATGAGGCCTTTTGTCACTCTAAAGTTGGACAAGTTCATGACTGTCTGATATGTCTACAAATTTTGGAAAGGACACAAGGACACACGTGTTTTCTTTTTCCTTTTTGCTCCAATTGACCAGAGCTGAGTCATTCGCACAGCACCATTAATCTCGTGCACAGAGAGGTGATGACAGACGGTGCGCGCATGTCTTAAGTGTGTGTGTGTGTGTGTGTGTGTGTGTGTGTGTGTGTGTGTGTGTGTGTGTGTGTGTGTGTGTGTGTGTGTGTGTGTGTGTTGACGACTGCAGGAAGAACACCTGTGTGGACGTAGATTGGTACCAGCAGAGATCACTAACTTCTACACCTGCCCATTGAGGAAAAACACTCACACACTTTATGGAACATAAAAGGAGCAGCGGCTGAAAAAAGTATTTTTTAAATGGGGAAAAAAACATTTTATAGCAATGAATAGATTATGGAATTTGAAGGGTTGCTTTTATTCAGCAACCGTTTAGGCTTTAAAGATGAGATAATTTTCTTGCTTCTTGGGAGACAAATTTGAGAAGACATTCATGCTTTTTATGCACCTTCTACTGGACATCAAGTTAACAGCAAATATGCAACAAAGAAGTAAAAATCCTTTTTTCACAGGTAGTCTAACATAATTTTTCTCTCCTCTAGTTCTTTTGCTCTGGTTATTTCTGCACGGACCATTACCTGCTGGATCCAAAAGTGGAGATGTAACCGGTCTATGGAAAACCCCACAGAGGACAGGCCGAGAGCGAAGAGAGGGGGTGGATGGTGGATATACAGCAACACATGCACATACGCACACACAAGCCTTCACACATCAGTCAGACTACCCTCAAGTCAGGAGAACCCCTGGCTCACCTTCACACAGATTCACAGATCACACACACACACACACACACACACACACACACACACACACACACACACACACAGAAGTTGTACTGACATGAATCTACGCAGTCGCTTTGACTCATATAAACATGCCTCCCCCTCCCTGCAAACACACACACACACACGCACACACACACTTCAAAGGAAGATTGTAACCTGACAGGCCGGCAACACTAAGAACCCACATGCTGCTTTTTTTTCCAATTCTTTCACTCAGAAACCCACCTGTTTCATACGAACTTTCAAGCTGTACTTCTTTTCTCTCTTCCTCTCTTGCCTAGTTTTAAGATCTCTGTGTTTGTGAATGTGTGTGTGTGTGTATGTGACACACTCTCAGTCGGTGTGTGCATACTGGTACTCAGTGGCTGTCCGTCTGATGTTCTCTCCGGCTCATCCTACACTTTCAGCCCTTATCTGAGGAGTGTACACATGCTGACCAATGTCGTAACTAGACACAATGTAGCCATGCTCCTGCCTGCACAACTACGCAGATGTGAAAATCAGCACCCTGCAATCGCATCAGAAACAGCCTGTATGCTGGTACCGCCCAGGCAATATCTCCTTGATGTGAAATGCCGCTGAAGACATGAAACAATTTGAGACACATTTGACAGAGCTGGTGTTTCCCCAGAGTCAGGCAAACAGGCCAGATGTTGAATGGTACAGGCTGACAGGCAACAACGAGATCTGCTTCAGTACTCTGTGAGGTCGGTCTTTGTTTTCGCTGCGATCCCCAGTACGCAGGTGTCCTTTCTCTGTCACGGTAGGGGGTCCAAGCATTGTCCTTCACTCACATAACCCCATAAAGACTGTTAGAGCACTTAGCTATGCAAAGTAGAACAAAGGTTGCTTCACATTTCGGGGGGGTAAATTCCTACATCACTCAGGGTTCCCAAGTAATTCTAGTGCTTCAGGTGCACCAAGGTAATTCCAAAGATTGATAAGTTGCTGAGGTCTGGTAACTAAATTATGCTTACTCCAGTTTCAAGCGGCTTTACTTTAATCTGATTGGACTTGCATTATCAGAATACCTACAAAAGAACACACAGAGATCAACAAAACAAGCCCCACTTAGTAACTTCTGATCATAACACAAGATTATTATCAGCAGATGGAGTTTGCACAGATATTTTTCCACGTTGTTAAGATTTCAACGCATTGCAAACGTTCAGATCTCGCAACACGTGTGTAGAGTTTACGATTACACTTGAGACGGATGGATTCCTCTAAATTGTTTGCATATTTCAAATAACTTATTTATCATTTATTTATTATAACTTAATAACAATTGTTTCACATTATTATCAGCATCATTATGTACTACAAAGGGCGTGTTGGCCCCCACAGTGCAGTATGGCATATAGTCTTCTTTGGTTAGTTTACAGAGGCAAAGGTTCACCTTCAGTGTTACTATAGAAAGGGCCTCAAGAATGACAACAACTGCATCTGTCTGGCAAACTTAATACTATCTTGAGTTGTGACGAGTGATCCGAGGCTCCTCAGTGACAACCTTGCTGAGTTAAAACACAGCCATGAGCATTACACCAAACGCAGATGTCCAGCTATACCCTGCAGCAAAGTCCCAAGTCTCTTTACAGAACTGGACTTTTACTAATTCAACAGTATTCATCTTGGTTTTGAAAGTAACTCAACCTATTCCTAAATCTCTGAAAACAGCACCATGCATGCTTCAAAACTCCAACAAATCCAAAAGTTTGACGGACCTTAAGCTGTGATTTAAATATCACTGTTAAGTGATTAGTGATTAAGGGAGAAGCTTTATGGCATTCTGGTCAATGTCTAACCGTAACCATCTCACCAGAATTCAGAAAATTGGAGGCTGCCATTTAGACTGATGGACCTTGAGGCAAGACGTTTTCCACAGCTGTTTTTCCACAAAACACAGAGCTGCCCTCATCAGGCGTAGAAAAACAAGTATCCCCTTGTTTATCAAAGTGTGGGGTATTTTTCGGCCATAACAATTTCTGTAGCAACGCTCTTTCTGTCCTCGTAGCAGTCTTTTTCTCACCTATTCCATAGTGACACCTGGTCAATTCCGTTTCAGGTGTCATGAAAAGGAGGGATGACTCATCTGGCTGGGACAGGCGGGTGAAGAGAGAGATGAAGGGATGGTGAAGGGGAGGATGAAAGAGTGTGTAGTGCACTCGGCCTGCCACTCACTTGTCTAATTGCAGTGTCTGTCAGAGGAAGCGTGTGCTGTCTCTTTATATTGATGACTTTATGTTGTTTTTCTCCACCTTTCCCATTACTGCCAATCTCTTTCAGCCGGAGCGTACTCTTAACTATTTGTCGCCTCTCCGGCATCTCTCTTTCTACTTCCTGTGTTTGCGTGAGACAGTTTGACAATCAGTCATTTAAATATATCTAATGATTAAACATGATAACTTGGGAAGTGTTTAGAACTGCAAAATGCATTAACACAACAGTTTTTTTATTCTTGTTTTTATTTTTATTGGTAACACAGTCATTGATTGTCTGTTGCTAAAATGATTCAAAGGACAGTTGGATCTGGAATTCAAACTTGTATTTTCCCATAATCCTGTAGGTCAATGTTACGTGTTTTATCATTCAGTATGGTATCTCACACTTTACTACAAAGATGAGATCATAGAAGAAAAAATGTTGTATTTCTGGAATCTGTGCTATTGCATGAGGAGAAAAGGCAAAGCATGCTGCCCTGCCACTAATGGTATTGGTTATTGTTATAGGAGTCACATCGTTCTAACTTTATCAAGGCATACTGGTGGTTTACAGTCCTTGACAACACAAACTGAAGAAAATTGTAGGACTGAATAAAATAACAGTTATCCCACTGGATCATATGTCAATGGAATGGGACAGGAACGTTCAGACCCATTTTTAAATCGTTTATGAATTCAGGCTGATGCAGTACATAAAAGATGAAATACTTAATCTTGCTGTCTCCATTTCTTAACAGACTCTATGAGGAATGTCCACTAGAACACATTCAACCATCCTAAAAATAATAATATGGAGAATCTGCAATGTGCCAGTTAGTGCTGTGTATAGAATATAGAAAGATACTGTATGTTGCAGGGGAACTAAAGTGGTATTGCCGCTTTAGTGAGCTGGTATAAAACCGTTTTATTGTATTGTTTCTGTGGACAAACTGGAGAAGCCTTGTGAAGTCTGAGAAGTTTACACAAGTGTAATAACCTGAGTACTCTCAACTATATTGAACTCAAGCTGGGGTTGAAACTTGAGAGTGTTTACTTGGCAATGGGGAGGAAAGACATTAGCATTGTGGAATGATTTAGGATCCAGTGGCTTGACTAAAGTCAGAATATCTCTGTCTGCCACATCGACTTGGACCATTCTCTTTATTTTCACATTCTTTTGGATATCAGGTTTAAGGTTCATGACGTGTTGATCCAACAACAGCTTCAGATAAGCAGACCGGATATCCACATGATAAATGGACACACCGTAATAGTGTCAGAGAAGTGATATGGATATACCCATTACATGATGAGAGTGGAAAGACTGCAGAAAAAAAAGAAAAATGTCATAGCTTGTTCTGGATCGCTTTTTTTATTTGATCTCATACTTGTAAAAATATATTCTGAAAATAAATAAATTTGAAATAAATATATGTATGTCCTAGGAAACAAAGACGTATAAATAAGAATACAATCTGTCAACGGGTTTGTAAAGGTGTCTTTGACGGTCACGTGCTAACGTTTGTTGCTTGACCGCAGTTAGTGGAAGAACAAGAGAAATCCTTCACCGGGTTCTTGAATGCGTCTCTAGAGTTCCCACAGAACACGCAGCGTCCCGTAGAAGGACACCACGGAAGAAGTCCTTATGAAACTCCATTGGATCCGCTCTTCTTTGCTTGTTCCTCATGAAAAGTCATATGATCTGAGTTTCAAAGGATTATCCTTCCAAGACGTTTCAGAAGTCTGTATGTTAACGGAGCTTCCCTCGGCTCTCTGACACATTTCCCACCACAGACATGGCCGATTTCCAGTGCATGAAACTACCTTTTAGTGTAAACCAGCCAGTGGATTAAGCATTTTAATCAATCAGTTGCCAGCAGCCACAGTGTTTTGAATAAAATGTACTTAAAACAGTGTAATTGACAAGACTCATCAGCCACAGCAGTAAAAAGCAATGTACTAGCAGCAAGCTGTTAATCTCACTTATTAGGTGCCGCACTTTCATCCTCTTGAACATGCATGTTTGGACTTGCAGGGAAACTTAAACAAATCCAAAAGTCATCTGTTTAGCCTCCGGAGCCAATAAAGGGAAAATATTGGGGCCCAGATGTGTCTCAAGGGACCTCGTCATCGTCCACAGAAGATCCCCGGTACCAATCAAACTCCCCCGGGTAGTGTGGTCAATAGAAGGTCTCTTTCCTCCCTCCGTGCCACTGGTGGGGAGCGTTTATTCGGTGCACTTTTTGTGATCCCCATATCAAAAGGATCTTCCATCTCACTCGAGAAGGGGTTTAGGATTAGATGCACTTTCTTTCTTTCCTTTCTGGCTCGTGGTAACGCAGCGTCAGTCTCAACTCTGGCCCAGTATGTCCCTGTATAGCTCCGGTACTCTATCCGGGTCTACGGGCCTTGGTAGGAAGTGAGTGAACCTCTGATGTCGTCTCGACCTCGTTCCATCCCGGGAGGTCCCATCTTTGTTCAAAGCAACAAAGTAAAATGCACCCTTTTCTCCATGCCGGTAGATGTTGGACGAGTAAGTGTTGTACCAGTTTTCTTCAAATTGCTCCCTAAAAATGGATTCTGCTGACAGCTTCTCCTGCAGGAAGAAAGACAACCAGAGAAAAATCTGAGTATAGCAATGCAGAATGTGCCTCCTGTTTTATACATCAAATATGTTTATAATTGATACAGTAAAACATGATAGGCTTCAGAATGTTCACAATAATGTGTGTACTCACCGATCCATATAGTTCTCCTTTGCTGTTCATGGCGAGGTAGAGGCTACTGTCCACCCCTCTGATGCTGACCAGTCCCACAGCCAGACTGATGAACTCCAAAATACCTGCACACACACACATCACTTTGCATTACATTAACTTGTTATACCCCTATTAGACTAAGCACAATAATATAACTTGAATAATAGTCCTACAAAGTTTCTTCCACTGATGGTCGTGCAAGAGGCATCAAATTGAACATATATGAAGGATTGACCGAGACTAAGACTGCATGCACTCAGTGCAGAAAAAGAGATAAATTATAAATTGCACAATATCCTCAACTGCTGTCAACCAAGGGTGGTTGTGTGGAACAGCCTTTGACGTGAAGTGCAACCAAGAATAAATCAAGTGTCAGAAATGCAACAGTATACAGCACTCAGAGGTCTGCTTTTGATCTGCAGTACGCTGCCGATGTTTACCTTGATGACTGAAGAAAAATTTGCAAACTCATCTCAAGGAGTAAATATAAAAGTGTATAAAAATATAAAAGGAGTAAAAGTGCGTTCTAAATACTCAAAGTATGAAAGTTTTGAAATGATTAATGTTTCTATAAATTCTATAAAATTATAACACCAACTGCTGGCCACAGTTCAGGGTTATGGCAGCTGCTATCACAGTGGGCTACTTCATGTGCTATCATTTTTGATAGTAACCTGTATGGTTTTTGATACATCAGTGTGTGTGTGTGTGTGTGTGTGTGTGTGTGTGTGTGTGTGTGTGTGTGTGTGTGTGTGTGTGTGTGTGTGTGTGTGTGTGTGTGTGTGTATTTATGTGTGGAATTCTACAACACACTACTATCACTACAAATAAAATACTACTAATAAGGTTAATTTCAGAAGGGATGTGTACCAAATCTGCTGTGGTCCTTTCTGGTGCCCTGCACGGTGCCGTCGGGACGGATCTCCAGGTGGAAGCCGGTCCTGCAGTAGAGCTGCCGCCGCCTCAGAATCCCCTTCAGGTGGCTGAGGTCCGCCAGGCTACGGGACAGCCTCTCTGCCGAAACCAGGTTCTCCTGCTGCTGCCCATGTCCCGCCGTCATCATTCCTGTCAACGAGTTGTAGTCCACGGCCCCGGCTGGGGTGAGAAAGAAATGAGAGCCAACGGGAGCCGGAGCGGCGCCCGCGGGGCCAAAGCTGTCCACAAATCCGTTGACGAAGCCCCCGACCTCCGCCGCTGCCCCCATTACAGATGCGACAGCCGACCCGGTTCACACCAAGAGCGGCCCAAGTCAAGGTCCAATTGATGAGTACGAACCGGCGAATGAGGAGCAGCCCGTGATGAGGAGAAAAGGAAAAGTTGGACGCGTTGGCTGAGAAAATACCCAAAGCGCGCGTTCAGGCGCAGTCACCAGAGAATGAAGACTTAGATCCGCGCTATATCTTGATGGATGCAGATAGTCCCGAGTGCAGCCGCCAGTGTTCCTTCTTCCCCACTCTTCTACTGCTATTTATCCCTCTTTACAGTCCCCTGTGCGCTCTCTCTATCCTCCTCACATCGGGATACTCCCCTTTGCTCCAGAGCACTTCAGGACTCTCTCTCTCTCTCTCTCTCTCTCTCTCTCTCTCTCTCTCTCTCTCTCTCTCTCTCTCTCTCCCTCCCTCTCGGACTCTCCAGCTCTATATTTCTGCGGTACCCTCCACTCTCTCCTCCAGCGGCAGCGTGTTGTGCAGCAAGACAAGCCCACCGAACTCAACATCTATAGAGCATATCACGCAGTTCACTGTTGCGGAATTCCTCCCAATTGCCATTTTAATGCAAACATGTTGCGATATTCTCCCGTCATGGCTCACATGTGGCCCCGTCGTCCCTCTCCTCATCGTTCTGCTGTATCACCTTTGATGTTCAGTTTCACTGCAGAGAGCCTACGGGGACTTGGAGAGGAAATTAAAAACTACTTATACAAATTACCATCGCAGGCGTCCCCCATTTGCCTCCCATTGCAGCATCAGAGCGACTTCACTGAAGCTCATTTAGATGCTATGTCCAATCGGCCACTCAGAAGGGAAGGGATCCTATAGCAACTTGAGTGTGACAGACACAGAGGGGACAATGGAGACAGTTTGTGTGTGTGTTCTGTCAAACAGCATAAAAGTGGCATTTTCATTACCCTAAACGCTTTACAGTCCCACGCCTCCTTAACGAAATGACTCAGGTGCGGCCATAGAGAGAGAGAGAGAGGGAGAGAGAGAGAGAGAGAGAGAGAGAGAGGGAGGAAAGCCCCCATTTGCGTAATTTTCGCACTTGGCTGTTGATTTATGGCCCTCCCCGTTTTATGTAACCCAGCCGCACGTTAACAGCACCCGCACAGATACAAACACACACACACACACACACACACACACACACACACACACACACACACACACACACACACACACGCACTCACACACACCTGTGCAAACGACATCACTTGACTGTCAATCCCTTCATTGATCTTTTCACTGGGCTTTGAACAGCGCAGGAGCCCATATTTCCTTAATTGTGGTCTTAAAAGACGAATCAAAGACACAGAGGCTTCAAAGTGCAGGGATCTTGTAAGGGGATCAGGCAATAACAACCAGAAGAGGGGAATATACCTGTTTGAACTGCAAGCTTCGATAATACCTCGACACTTGATACTTGAAGGGCTTCAGAAGATGTTCATATAATATACTAATGCACGGTGGTTTTATGCATAAACATACATTTTGGGACCATAAGTTGATCATAGTCCATGTATTTGTGTGACAAACATAATGGTGGTTCTCTTCACTGGAACTCGTTGCATTCATGGCTTAAAACGTATTGTACACACAACACCATGCAGTCTTACATTTAATTGTGCTTCTTTTGCCGATTTGTTTTTTGCCCCCCCCCCCATTCGTGGATCTTTCGATTTCTCAAATGTGGGATTTCGGTAGGCGTCAAACCGCAGTGCAGCCTTTACGAGTTTGATTTAGATACGCAGTGGCACATGGGCCCATATTCTAGCCTATATGGCATTGATTTTGGCAGCTATGCAGAAACCCACTCGTGCACACAAAACACACGCGCGCGCACAGCTGCCCCCTCCGCTGGGAATCGCGTTGATAAATGAGTTGAAGGTGCAGAGGTGTGTAGTGTGCGCGTTAAACCTCGGTCAGTTTGCACCGTGTCGGTTTCTCCTGCATGACATGGAGACAGAGGGATTGTGGTACCCATATTTTACTGTAATCCCCATTAATGTATATTTATTAGTGTGGATGTGTTCATTGCACGTGTTTGTTTAAGAAAGACGGATGAATTCAGCGGGCGTCTATACGTTTGAGGCGTGCTCCCTCCTCCCTCTGCCCCTCCCTTCATTATTATTTATGACTGTAGAAAAGGGAACTTTTTTTTTCTTCTTTTTTTACCGAGCTGAGAAGATCGATTCGAATTGCTGCAGGCCGATCGGGTCCGGATGCATTGGATATCGACCTGCCCACAATGAAGCCATACGGTGACACGTTTTCACTCAAGCTCACAAGGTGCATGCACCGTTCCCTGTAATGTGCTTTGCTTTAAATTATATTTTGTGTTGGTTTACAGTCCTGTTAGTCATATGACAGAGCGTGAAACCAGCTACACAGTAAATTTGCCAGTGTCAAAAAGGCAGTGTCAAACTATTTTAATTCTTCCGGAGTTCTTCCAACAATGGACAGAGTAAAATTGAACCAGAAAACTTCCAGTGTTGGTGAAAATAATCGGAGTTAACAGAGGTTTTACTCTGTCAGTGTTATTGACTCTCTCAGGCCCTGATTCAACACTGATTAGAGCAAGATACCTTCCAGAGTATCACAAAAAATACTCTGGAGAGCCCCGCCCACCAACTTTCCCGGTCAAACTGAGAATGTGGATTCTGGCATCGCCATCTTCCTCGCATCGAAATACTGTGGTAAGTCTTTCTACTATAAACTATTCCCGTTGTTTTTCTTCATTCCAGTAGAATCTGTATAAGAATAAAGGGACGTATTCATTCACCACACTAGTCAATGTTGGGTACGTGTCTTCAAATACCGAATTTCAAATGGCTAACGTGATTATCGGGTCGGCGGTTAGCTTAAATGTAGCAGCCACATGTCTGACCACCAACACCAAACTGAACAAAAACGACACGAGGTAACGTTAATGTCAGCGAGGACGAGCTGTCGTGGTGTGTTATGTGTCATGCTTGCACATTTATTTCAGTAAAATGACGACAAAAATTTGTTGAAGCAGTCATATTTATTATTTCTATTTGAGCCGGAGCAAATCGCTTTAGCGTCACGTCACAATTTGGTCGAGCATAGCGGGACATGTCGCGGACATGCGGACGTGCTCATAGGACCCGCTAGTTCACCGGTAGACGGCGGAATGCACCGAGTCGACCCAGTTAACGTGAACGGAGCCGCGGCTCCGAGAGGCTCGGTTCCCGTTAGCTGCTGCTGTAGCCATAGACATATAAAGAGTAGACGCTGCATTGGCTGCTGAGGCGCAAACAAATATTTTTTTATTATATTATATACCAGAATATTATTACTGTTACGCCTACTATGAATATTAAAATACGCCGAATCATGTTTTCGGTGTCATGCCTACAAAATCCCGTGAACATCCGCTTTTGTATTCAGCGAGTGACGCGCTGACACTTCGTTGCGCCAGCTGGCACTGAGAGGAGCGGGTGACCGGTCCAAGCTGGCGGCCCCGCGGCTCGTCAGCACCACTAGGCAGCAGCGGTCGATGTCTATTCTTTATGTCTATGGCTGTAGCTGCTGCTTAATTTATGCTTCCACGTTACGGCGGCGGCGGGTGTGGCTGTGTGTTTCTGCGGGTGCCGAATCCTTGGTGAGCCGAAGCTCATATTGAAGCGCAGGCTACGGAGAAGACGTGAATTTACAACACTGGTTCACCCACTGAGGGACCTGGACGAGCAAGTGCACTTTCGATACTTTCGAATGTCAGCAACTGCCGCAAATTACGTTCTGAGCGGACCAATCACAGCACTTGCGATCCACGTCAACTCGACTCGCAGTTAGATTTTTTCGGAGGTGCACGTCAGGCTACGGCGGAGGGGTCTACGTAGTTACGTAGTTACTTAATATGTATATTTTCCTTTTTTCTTTCAGATTGTTCTTTAATGTACTGTGGTGCTCTGGTGGTAAGTAATAAGTTTATGTACTTGACCGAAAATGTAGTTGTGTTTGTTATTTTTAAAGCTGAAATAGGGTATTTTCAGGTTGTCAGCTTGTATGGGGTTGTAGATCATAATGTTGATTTCAGTTTGCTGTCTTTGCAGATACCATCATGTTGATCAAAACAGTCCTGTCATCCAGCACCAACCAAGATCTTTGCCACTGTGATAAGATGTGAGCTTTACATGTTTTAGGTTTACTTTTGATGCCAATATTTCATGTTTACTTCGAATAAATATGTATTACAGTATGGATACAATTGTCTGTGTGTTTTTCCCCCTGCATAGATATGCAACACTGGTAGGAGTTGGTTAAAAATCAACACTCTTTGGAGTGATTTCATAATCAACATAGTGTAAAGTAGGTTTAACACTGGAAAGGTTATTTCTTTTATAACTCTTTAGTGTTACATGTGAATAACACTATGGGTGTTACTTCTTACATAGTGTAAAACTTGATTGACACTTCTTAGAGTTAATATTATTACACTACACTGCACCTAGTGTAAAATTTTAACTCTTACCAGAGTAAAATTGACTCTGGAAATTTAACTCTGTGTTCAGTGTACATTTAACACTCTGTAGATAGGGACCATATGTTCACTGAGGTAGTGTTAAAATTGACTCTTTAAGTGTTGTATTAACACTGGCGATTTTACTGTGTAACCTCCATTGCATTCATAAAGGAGGAGGAGGCCCTGAGGGTTATCTATCCCCCCATCACTCTCACCCAAACCCACACACACACAAAGAAATTACAACCTAATCGGATGCCTGGATAATGGAATAACTGAATAAGTAGCCTTGAGGTTATTAATGTGAGTATAGCCCGAATAAGGGTCAAGGGATCTCCAGGGGTCCTTGAGAGAGAAGATTCAGAAGGCTCCAAAACATAGACTCTATATTTTATTTAGAGAATGAATGAGCATTTAATATGGATGTTCCCAAAGGCCATGAAAAAAATCAACCTCAAAAAAAGCTTGTTCCTTTATTTTGCAAACAGTTATCAAATGAGGGCGCGCACAGGTTAATGTGTTTAGAGCCCTGTTACTTAAGCTTGACAGAAGTGACGGTCAATATTGAATGCAGTCTCAGTCAATTAGGTTAAATGTGTCACAATTGTAGCCATTCAACTATTTGAGTATTTTTCTTACGGGCTGATTGTTATTTTGCATTAATTATTTAATATTTCTATCTCCATCAGTGAACCGATTAGGAAGCATATCAGTCACAAGGCTAATCATCTGTATGACCAAAGTAATCAAAGGATCTACTCAAATCAAATCTACTCAATCCTTTGAAGGGTTTATTTGTACCAAGAGGTTTTGATAGTCATTGTTTGATCTGTTTTCAACTTTTGGCTAAATTGTCCTCATAGGCCGGGGTGATCTCCTCTTCATGTGTGAACAGGTGATAGGCCATGTGTTCAACTGCTCTCCTTTATTCTCTCTGCATCAAAGTCATAAGAAAAGCCCCATCAGGTTAACATCAGTCTCACATGTAAAGACTTAAATGAAGGGTTCATCTTTGATATTCGTTTGATATCTGCTCTCGATTGGCTCCTTTGATCCTGAACTTTCCACTGGAAATCAGATACCACACTGACCCTCAATCAAAAACTGAAGATTTGATACATTTTAGTATCATTAGTCACTAGATTAGTAAACAAGGATCTCTTCAAGTATATTCCAAGACTCACCTATGAGGCATTTAAACTAATAGATTAACAAATGTGCTTCTCTAACTTTTTTTTGTCTTTTCACTGATGTCCTGACACAGTTGTGGGAAGTATTAGTCTTGCCAGGTGGACATTTGCACAGAAACAATTTTGAGGTGTTTGAAAAGAATTACTGGATACTGTATGAAGAAATATTTCCGTTATTTTTTCTACTTTTATTTATGTGCAGAACACCTGAACACATCAGGTGTTCGGCCACCTATATTTAGGTGGACGGTTTTATTTGTTCCGTGGTACAACATGAAATCCGGTCGATGGATTACGCTTGTTCACTGTTTACCGTCGACCATTTCTGCTTCATGCTCAAAGTCATCTCCGCCTCTCACCCAGTAGCCATCAGATCCTCTCCACTCTGCGTGGGACCTTGCGCAGCCTTCATGGTCCCCGCACATCTCGCGATGAAAGCAAAAAAACGCGATCTCCCCCCCCCCTCAAAGTTGTCACCGTTCAGCGGCACAGCAGCAACAACAGCAGCAGCAGCAGCAGCAGCAATGGCCGCTTTCCGAAGAGTGGCAGCGCTGGCCGGTAAAGTAAACCTCTTGGCGGCAGCGAGGTACGAGCAGGTCGGCGGTCAGGCGGCCGGAGGAGGAAGGACGCGCAGGGGTCTGGCCGTCGGGACGTGCCTGGCGACGGGAGGCGCCGTGGCGCTGTACTTCTACCGCGATACGACGAGCCGCGCGGGCAGCAAGAGGATGGAGAGGCGCCGCGTCACCGGTCCGCTCCCGACCATCCCGTCCGTCGAAGCCAAGGAGAAGGTAGGACGTGGCGCCGAGACTCCTCGGGCTGCGGTGGCGGGGCAGGAGCTGCGTGGTCGGTCGTTCTCGTCGGTGTGGGCGCAGAGGCCTGTGAGAGAACAGGCAGAGAGCGCTAGGTTCCGCACAGCACTAGACCCGCGTTTCTAAAGACCTACTTGTGTCCTGTCGCCACGGCGGGGCCGGCAGTCTCTTAGTTTTCCTCTCGGGTGGAATAAACGGGGTCATTCATTCCCAGCACGCCCAGTGGAAACAGTTTCCTCACCGTTTGGCCACAGGACGACGGGCGCGCGCAGACGCAGTGAGTGGCGCTTTCCGTCGGAGGTGGTGCTGAAAGGACAGCAGGTGGAGGATGGACTGCTCACCACAACGTTTCCAGAGGAAGGCAAAAGAAGTCGCTGGTGAAGTGCTAGTTCCCACGAGGCTAAGATAGTGAATAGTAATTTAGTTGTAACTCAAGTTTAATGTTAACTTCAACAGACAGCTATGAAAATCAACCAAGTTTTCAGTTGTGGAAAAACGTACTTTGATCCTTTAATCCTGCAAGTGTCAATAATCAAAATTGAAACAATCCCAATGCAAGATTTTGTTATTTACTTTTAGCAACCGAATAGATCAAATTAAAAGGTACGCAGAAGGTAGCTTTTCAATTTTTTAAAAGTTTATTATATGATTGTGTTATTTAATATTACATCAACTAACATGTAAACATGTTCTTAATAAATAAGAGAAGCCAACGCATAAAATACTGCAAGTGCAAATATATAGGGATTCCGCACACAAAATATAGAGTAAAATATTATAAATGCAGGTTAGACATGTTGTGAGAAAGGTACAGATTTAGTAAGTACGTCATTGGCCTTTGTTTTGGGACACTGTTTATTCACTCTAGACAAATACACTACGTTTTTGTTTTTGTAATTATCCATTTCAAGACAAAGATTATATAATTGTGGGATAATCAAATGTTTACAGTTAAAGTGGTGCAACTAATTTAACTGGAAGGGAATCTCAGAGTAGTCATTGCATTCAGAGAACACTTACATAAATAATCCAATACATACCGTATGTCATAAATACTGTACTTACTACAGCGACCAGATGTGTTGATATACTCACCAGCTACTTCATGTAGCTATGACAATAGCGATATTTCAATCAATCAAGATGTTTTGGGCCCAGCGACAATCCAAGTCCTTTGATGATGTATGCCAATACAAAGTCTGATCTGATGCCTGCGTTTACCTGCATGAGCACATAAAAGCTACAGGCTGATTGCATTTGAAATTATTTTTAGAACACATGCAATCTTACTGAAATGTGTACAGTATCCTGCACATTAAAAATAGCGGCTTTTTTTGTAGTGCTACTGAAATAAACAGACACCTGTGGTTTATTTTAGGTCTAGAACGCATCGTATCAGTCAATAGTGTAAAGTAAAGGTTAGGTCTCCTGTACCAGGGAGGAAATAGTTGCCTTTGAGGAGACTGGGATGAAGGAGGGGTAATTTATCAGTAAGTTGGATAATACGAAGGCAGACGGAACGCATGACTGGAGAATATGGTGTATTGATGGCCACTCAACTGGGAACAGACTATCTCCAGTGGGGAAAAGGGAAACACAGCATTCTGTTACTCAGTAAGTAAAGGTAGCCTACACAGATTCTGAAGGATAAGGCTTAAACAAAGCTGCGGGGGCCCACAAGTTCTCCGAGACCTGCAATCGGGGGACTTACTAAGACCTGCCTACTCTGATGACCAGAAGCCTGAGATGGAAGGACCAGACTCAGCTTAGGTTTCACAAGACCTCAGAAAAAAATGCATGTCTTACTTCCAAATCCATGGCAAACTGTAAGTTCAAGTCTCATACCACCACAACATTTATTAAGCCGAACGATGCGTTCATGATTTACACCAAATTTGGCACTTGAACTCAACGAGGGGATTTGATATCGCGCTGTGTTTGCCCTGAGCGGCAGCCACAGAATACACAGGGATGCAGCACATTCAAAAAAGACGGTAACAGCTGATAGGCTTGCGAAAAGGGTGTGACTCTGCGCTTATTGGCTGGAGGCGCCCAGCTGATAAACAGCTGATATGACTCCTCTGACAGTGACAGCCGGTGTATATTATGTGCTGCTGGTGGGGGCTCAGGACGAGCGAGAGGCCTACGAGCCTCGCGTCAGGAGATGGTCTTCCTGCCTGAACGCTGGACCGTAACTTGTTATTTGTACATAAACGTGTTAAGGACTTCTGGCACGTCAGACTCAAAAGATGGGACATTAGCTTGCTAGATTGCTTGACTGATATCAGATAATTAAACTTAAAGAGGGAACATGGGAGGGTTAGGACGGTTTATTTTTGAGCAAACTGAGTAAATTTACTAAAAGCTGCAGCTGTTAATGGAGGACACCGGTTTTCCTGAGGGGGAAACACCCGGAGCATCTGCTACTCAGTCTGAGAAACAACAAGAGAAAGCAACGGTAACAGGTTTAGGACATTATAACTACACAAGAACAGACCATGCTGTCATTTCAAATCACTGCCATTTGATTATTTTTATTTTTTATTTAAAAATGAATTCCCCCAATGAATTCCTTTTTATGCCATACTTTTTACATCATGTTGTGCAGAGTGGCATGTGAACCTAGATGCCTTTCCAGAACTTTATGAACTTCATTCATTAGTGAGAGCCGAGGCCACGGGCGTCTGTGCCCACACACTTGAGTACAGTGCATTCCTACGAGGCCGGGCGCTCATCTCCTATGCACGCCTTCAAAAGCCCCCTCGGTGAACGGAGCATCAAAGCCTCATGAATGAATCCGTGTGCTCATTAGCATGTTAGCTGAGCCGAGCAGGAACCTGGCAGTGCTGGGCCCTGCGGCCAAACAGGTTTAATTTTGGAAATCTCTCTGCTAATTAAACAGCTTCATGCAGCACAATCTGTCGGCGTAGCAGCTCTCCAACAGAGAGAGAGAGAGAGAGAGAGAGAGAGAGAGAGATGCTAATCAGGTGGAAAGTAGTGACAAAGTAAAGTAAAATTTGTGTATGTTTGTGCATGTGTGTGTGTATTATTGTATTGCGGCAGAGGTGCTGACTGTTTATAATCATAGAGAGCTAAATAGAGACAGTAAATGCCAAGAATATATGGATCTCCTCATTATAGAGGTTCAAAAGTAGAGGCACGAAAAGTTTATATTCTCCCCAGAGACTTTTCTCTCAACAGATCAGAAGTGACATTCAGACTGTGATCATTGGGTCACATTAATACCCATCACTGTTTGGATTAGGGCGGCACGGTGGCGTGGTGGTTAGCACTGTTGCCTCACAGCAAGAAGGTCCTGGGTTCGATTCCGCCCAGTGGCCTTTCTGTGTGGAGTCTGCATGTTCTCCCCGTGTCTGCGTGGGTTCTCTCCGGGTTCTCCGGCTTCCTCCCACAGTCCAAAGACATGCTCTGGGGATCAGGTTAATTGGGGACTCTAAATTGCCCGTAGATGTGTGAATGTGAGTGTGAATGGTTGTGTGTCTCTGTGTAGCCCTGCGATTGGCTGGCGACCAATCCAGGATGTACCCTGTCTATCGCCCGAAGTTGGCTGGGATGGACTCCAGCCCCCCCGCGACCCTGTGTGCAGGATAAGCGGTTTGACAATGGATGGATGGACTGTTTGGATTATTTAACGCTGCAGCTAAATTGTTTGGCCGACACATTGCTCATCTGTAACTATGATGTTCATGCTTCTAATAATGTTGTGCAAAAGCCTTAAAATAATAAAAACCTACAAAAAAACTGACAACAAAAACAGCAGGAACAGCACAACAGGCAGTAATATTTTGTTTTGTCTTTGCATTTATGTCTGCAGGAAAGTCCGTTTGACTTTGAGGATGGAGACGTCTACATGTCGTCACACGAGCATCGCTTCCGCATTTTCAGCTCAGTGGAGTATGAAGGGCAGCTCTACATGACACCACAGAACTTCATCGAGTCGGTCACCATGAGCGAACCCAGAAGTATGTTCGCCATTTGTATGTTGTGTAGAGACCACGCTTTCCTGGCCCAAATTATCTTTAAACTTCAGTCAGAAAACATCTCAAGAGAAATTACATTCCCTAATTGAATCCCAGCCATTTCAGTTTCACGTAGTTATCCACTTATTTTTTATCTACCTCAACATGTGGTTTAGATCTGTATGACTGTATCAAAATTTGGATGTATTTCCATTTACTTGTGACATCATGCATTTCATTTCCTTTTGATAAAACTACCGACTATATTCACTTCGTATAACATCCATTTTACAGATGCTTTTGGATCAAAATATTACATTAGGGTTGTATTTTAGAATTGGTACAAAGCCTAATTTTGTTATAATCATGATTTTGATAACCAACTAAATTATACGTGTTATTAGTTGGGAGATGACCATCTCTGCTTTAAAATGTATGTCCCGTTGTAGATCTCAGTGTCCTACCTATTTCATTTTTTTTATTGCAAGTTATAAAACACAGCAACACAACTGTGCTTTAAGCTTGTCTTTTTCTGTCAGCCTGCTGCCAGTCGTAACAGATTAGTCCCGTCCAGACAGCCTCAAAGCAGATGGCTTTACAGCTATTGTTTAGTCTGCGGTTAATGTTAGTCAGACACACGCATACACAGACACACTCGACTTCTCCACATTCCAGTTGCTCGTATTTACCTTTTTCGCTCAACCGGTAAATATCTAAATCAGACACTAAACTTGTTTTTTTACTTTAGGACAACTGGTTTCAATAGGCCCCCAAAGATTATCACAAACACCAAAATAGCAATTCTGAATTCTTCAGCTGGTGTGCGATAGTATTGCGTGCAAACAGTGCACCTGTATGCGTGTGTTTACATCAGCCCTGGCTCACTGACATACGATACAGCCGCACATATCCTCTCAGCAGCCGACATCCTCTAATGCCCCCTTTGAAGTTGAATTAGATGAACTTTGTTGTATAAAACAGAACAAAAGTAGTATGTGCTTTTACGGGGACATTCCACATACTACAAAGACAAGCACGGGGCACTTTAGAGGGTACAAATGGGCCTGTGATGATGACAGTGTATATACGGTGAGTGTGTCTGCGTGTGCCGGTGTGCGTGTTTTGTGACTGTACTCGGCACATTAAGACCCATTTCTAGATCATACAGATGTTATCTGACCGAGCCCACCCAAACTCTCTTCTCCTCTTTCCCTTCTTCTTCTCTCCTCTTTTGTCTGGATCCCTGGCAGACAAGAGGCCCTGGAGGTCCCTGGCCAAACAGGTGGGGGACACACTCCTAATGCTTCTTTCTTCTGCTGTTGCAGGCATCGGTTGCACAATACATCTGTTGCAGCCTCTGCAAAGATAAAATCCAGATTTTTCCATGACTGTTGAGGTTCTTAGAAGGTTCTACATGTACAGTAGCATTAATATGTGATTGCACATCATTATCAGTTTTATTGTCACTGTATTTAAGGGAGAAGAGCAGATGGCGTCCACACAGCAATTAAATTAAGAAGAAAATATTGGTACCGTTTTGAAATCCTAATACATCAACTAGCAGTCTTCTTGTTAGCAGTGTTAATTTCATGCATGCAGTACACATCTCCATTACTTCTCTCTGCAGTACTACAGAGGTTACATGCAAAAGCAGGACCCATCTCATGTTGAGTTGAAAAGAAAGAGAAACTGGTGCTCCGCATATACAGTACCAGTCAAAAGTTTGGACACACCTTCTCATTCAATTCAATGAGATGTTGGCCTTTGGTCATTCGGTGTATGTCAGGCAACTCACTCGTAAATTGTTTTTTTTTATACCAGGAGCTGGAGAAAATTTTGTCCGAAACTCCCCTAGTATGGAGAGGATCCTCCAAACTGTTTCGCAACCTGAGAGAAAGAGGTCGGGAAAAACAGACACGCACACACACAAAAAACAGTAACAAAGGCACCATCATTATATCTACACACAAACAAACCTAAATACATGTATCAGAGTAGGATTGGGTTTTTACAGTTTGTTTTGCTTCGTAAATTAACAGCACTCGCAGCTTTCAAGTGTACGGATACGAGGTCTTAACTCTGTGTGTGTGTGTGTGTGTGTGTGTGTGTGTGTCACTGTAGGTGTCTCTAATCCGGTGTTTGAGCCATGCTGTCCCTTCTTACAGCCAAATAACCTGCTGAAAAAACTTAAAAATAAACCTCCTCTCCTCCTGATTGCATATTATATAATAACAAATAATACAGAACCAAAGACAGGGAGAGAGGAATAAACGCTCCCCATAATTAATGCGTTTGCATCAGCGCGTAACAGGAACCACACAGTCTGTGAGTGAATCCCCTTAGAGATAATATAATGCACTCACACTGGGAGTTGCTAAATATAACATTCCCTCTCTTCCTCTGCCATGACAATGTTTTACACCTTCTAACTAATGTGTATGTGTGTGTCCTACATTTACACTTCAGTGACCGGTATCCAGGTGCATATCCCTCATGCAAATTATTGTTGCTATTGTGTGAAACAGAAAGAGAAAACACAAAGACAACAGGGAAAAATAGATGGAGAATTAAAAAAGAAAGAAGAAAAGAAGACGATAGAAGAGAGATGCGAGGAGCGAGAGAGAAAATGAGACACCTAAACGAGGAGTGGGAGACAAAGAGCAGTTGAAAAAGTTGGAAATTAGGAACGAGAGACAAGAGAGAGTCGGTCAAACTATTCATGTCCTCATGGGGAAAAAGAAGATTATAGAAGGTGCATGTCTGTTGAAATTGCTAATGGAATCCTGCCAAGACCACACACACACACACACACACGCGTCAGCATTCATCGATCATACATATTTGTTTTTATCACTGCTAAACAATTCACCCATTTATTAAATTCCACGTCCTTATAATACCGGCCCTCTTACCAGCTGTATATAAGGGAGTGTTTATATTATATATTTCTATGCGTGTGATGTCAGGACACGCTCTCCTCTTCATGCAATGATGAGCGAGGACAGTTAAAATCCTTGGGCTGGCTTGGGATTTCTGAGAATGACTGTCAGACAATGGAATGCTGCTGTGTATGTCTGCCTGTCTGTGTGTGTGTGTGTGTGTGTGTGTGTGTGTGTGTGTGTGTGTGTGTGTGTGTGTGTAGATCATACAGATGTTGTGTGGCACAGTGCCTTGATTTAGAAACAACCAATGTATTCAAGGCCGTGATAAGCTCATGGTTAGATGATTATTAAGGTACAGTAGCATGCTGGTTATCTGCGTCTACATCTCGTAGTAAATGTAAATCTGTCATCAGCTGTCCTTCAAATCAGTAGTTGTACGAACATTTGAATTTGAATGATTAGGAGACTGTGGTGTAGATTATCACTGGGATCAGATTTACCAACAAATGCTCTTGTCATTATCAACCTTTTTATTTTAATGTGCATCTGATTTGAGACTAACACAACTTTAAAATGTGCAACTCAAGCATTCTTGCAAATACAAAAAATCTATGCAAACACCACCAATAGTAGTAAACTCAACTTTATATATACAGATCATTCATCTAGAATGATTACTACCTGCTGACCCATATGTTTTTATTGAGCCACCATAAAAGAATCAACACAGAATGGATTTTAGAAACTTGAGTTGTTTCTTCTGTTCTCAGTCTACACATGGAAAAGAGCATTCATTTCCAAACCAGCTGCTCCACACAAAGCAGGCAGCCATCAGGAGCACACAAGGCTCACACTGGTGGTTTGACTGGTGTCATGTTCACCTACATGCGTACATACACACACACACGCACACACACACACACACACACACACACATGGGAAAGCAGTCCCCCGTAACACTCAAGCGAGTCACCCTGAACTATCTTAGCGATCAGACAGAAAGCGAAAAAGAGGGAGAGAGGGATGAGATGGAGCAACAAAGATGTCTAAATGGGCCTGAGGCAAGAAAGGATCACCTCCTAAAACATTTTTCACTTGCTTATCCAAACACAGACCCATGCACACACCCCGACCCACCTCTGTCTTTACTTTGGACACTCGGGGTGTAGAAGAAGAAACGGTGTGTGGCCAAATGGCTTTTGGCAGCTCAGCTCCAGAAGACACATTTTAAGATGCTATCTTCATGAAAGGAGGGATTATGTGTGTCAGTGTGTGTGTGTCAGAGGGCCCACGGTCTTTGAACATCTGTAAACATTGTCTGTGTGTGTGTGTCTGTGTTGTGTGTGACCTTTTCTTTAACTCTCTCTGTCTTGGTGTCATTACCAGGAATCATCTCATACACAGAGTACCTGTTCCTGCTCTGCATCCTGACAAGTGAGTCAATTCCGTCTCTCTACACATCCTCATTCACTTCTTCTCGTCTCATACTTCCTCCTTCTGTCTCACTCTCACGTTACTGTGGCGGTATGCTGGGCCCATTTTAGTGAAGGTATATGAACTGTACTCAGGCCCACCCAGGACTTAATAAGAGGCAATTATGACACACATCCAGTGGGTTTCCCCTTCCCCTTGGGGTGAGCAAGAAACTGAGAAAAGAAGAGGAAAAAAACATGTCAACCTAAAGCCTTTCATGACTCAAACATAGAAAGGGATGTGAGGCTTATTTTTAAAAAAAGAAAAGAACGGCTGCTGCCATCATTACTCTGTGAGAACATGAATGTACTGCAGTTTGTATTGTATTGTATTGTATACCAAAAACGCATTCTGGAATTTCTAAAATAAAGACATAACGTGACTTCAGCTTAATTTGATTTGGTCGGTCAATAGCTATACCTCATATCTAAAAAGAATGGAAGGGTTTTGTTGATTACTTTTGAATAGCACATTTAGATGTAGCCACGCGCCCCCTCTCCCTCCCCTCTAGCCTATTGGCCATTCTTCCATTCTCCCACACTCACCCTATGTGCTCTCCTCTCTGTGCTCCAGAACCTCATGCTGGCTTCAAGATTGCTTTCAATATGTTTGATGCAGACGGCAACCAGATGGTGGACAAGAGGGAGTTCTTGGTGGTGAGTCTCTGACACAGAGAGAAAATCCATCCCATGACTTAATTCCTTTGTTATTATTAACATGACATTTCACTGCCGCGGCGAAAGGACAAGCATTAAAGATATAGACAACAAGTGTGATTGTTAGTGAGTATGTTTTTGTTACTTTCAGAAGAATTTAAAAGCTGATTCTCCCTATCTCTGAGGACAGGGTATACATTAACTATTAGCATTTTTTTAAATTAAAATCTATATGTAGCACATGTCTTACTTTCCTCTGTGAGATGGAACCACCAGCTTTTCAAATTAAAACACTGCTGCAGGCAGGAAGTGATCAGAATCCCTGCGGGGCTGGTGGGAGTGGGGCGGTACATCAGCAGGACTGGGACGTAATGGCTGATGATCCTGTGGGAGTGGACAGGTGCTGCAATGGAAAAAAACATTCCCACATCAAGGGGTTTGGCGACGCTATGATTTTTAAAAATTCATTCAAATAAAGGGAATAATAATCTCAAAATGAACAGTGTCAGGCACGCTTCATACAGGGCTTTAAATCTGTTTTGTCAAGAGGACCCTAATTCCTTCTTGTATTACAGCTTCAGGAGATCTTCCGGAAGAAAAACGAGAAGAAAGGGAGGAAAGGAGATGTTGAGAAGTCAGCACAGTTGGTAAGAGATCGGTAACGCAGGATGAGGATGTGTATTTGTGTGTAAAGAGAAAAAAGCCTCTTAAGTATTTAAGGACATGGGCTTCAGTAAAGCCACTGTCTAAACTTGCAACAAGTTAAACAATTTTGTTGTTGTAATACAACAGTCAAAAATAAACATTTATTAAAAGTTAGGTCCCTCTTAAAATGGCATTTCAATACATCCATGACTGGAGAACATCAACTCTCAGTTACTGAAGTTGTGTGTTGAAAGTGACCCTGTCAGCATCCTCCCAAGTTAACTCTCATCTGTATTCATACAGGTATTATTAGCTAAATCCATCGTTTGGGTGCAGGCTGTCTAAAATAAATGTTTTTGCAGTATGTTTTTGCTTTTTACTCGTACTCGTTGGATTGGATACACTCTTGAAATAATTTGTTCACTTCTGGAACTTAAGTTTTGGAGAAACAGCTACACTCGTAAAGTGTAGGTTTAGAAACAAGCACGAATGAATTCCAAAATAGGAATAGGTCGGATCTGGTGATATTAGCTTTTTACTAATATATCAATACATATGTATCAATATATATCAATAGGCATATGTGTCGGCCACAGGTCAGTGCGGAAAGGCAAAATATTTTTCTCAAGTAGAATGGAAAATCTTCACATTTCATTTCGAAGAAATGTGAAGGAGCCTTGTCAAGAATGCTAGTCTGTGGAATGTTTGTATGTAAAGTGTGATTATGGGTTTATATATGATTTATATATATATATATATATATTTATATATCATCAGTCAGTCTTATAGATCTGTCCTGGTAAAGCTTTTAGCTTACAAGAAGTCATACCAATAAAATGTATTAAGTAAATTCAAGGACAGATAAATCACATTTTCCTCCAACACATGAGATGTCATGGGAAGTGAAATGCACATTGTCGTAATGCAGAGTGAGTGTTGTTGCCAAATGTGAACCCAGATGTGTTGAATATGACTCGTCCCTCTGCAGAGCGAATCCGTGGCCTCTCTGCATGTACTAACATGTCTTTTACCTTCTCTCTTCCTCCCACCTCCTTTGTGACTGCATGCGCTGTCCTCCTCTTTCACGTGTCTCTCTGTGTGTGTGTGTGTGTGTGTGTGTGTGTGTGTGTGTGTGTGTGTGTGTGTGTTAGAGTATGCAGCTCTATGGATATCAGGTTGCCCCCATGAACAGCGTATGTATCCAAAACCGCAAACCCTTGGTTTCCTCTTAGATAAAGAAATTGATGGAAGGATGAACAAAAACAGTGCTGGAGGTCAGCTGGGATATTACATGCTACATGGTTTACCTTTAGAAAAATGAAGCAGTTTAATTGACAATTTTGTAAGATAACAATGAAACCACATTAGGAACCTAATTAAGTTATGCTAAACAGATATTTTAACAACAATAATTCAGAATATTCAGAACCTCCTCTGATCTCTGTAGTCGACTAAACTGTCAATATTTTTTTCGGAAATATTTCCTTTAGTTTTATTTTATTAGGGCAAAAATGTACAAAATATTGTATACTTTCATTTCCTATTGGTAAATCAAATTAAAGAATAGTTTTATGCATACACGCGTTAGATCAATACCACTCCCATATCTGTTTGTTAGATATAATGTGACAACCATCAGCCGATTAACATAGCTCAGCTATTGCACATATACGTCAATTCCAGGAAGTAACTCTGCCTGATAGTCGGCTCTGTTTTATTTACCTTAAAGAGAGATAGGATAGCTGCTAAGCCAACTGTCACTTATTTCACATAATATTTACTCTACGGACACAAAAGTGGAATCAAGAGTCAAGCATATTTCTTTCTGAAAATGTTGAAATTGTTCCTTTAATTGCCCCTCAACCCTGCATTATTAGGCATCTAATTTTGTGTAGGCAAGTGTCACTGACTGAGATTATTTGAATTAATCTTGTAATGCGACTGATATACCCGATGAGGGATAATCAAGCAAAACTCCCCCCCCTTGTTGTTGGGAATGTTTTTCCTTACTCTGGGGACTCGGGGGGGGGGGGGTGTAAATGTAAATTACCTTGGGGTGGTTAGGGTTCTGTATCATGCCCGACCTGGTCTTTGAAGACGCCTTAACCCTGACGCAGTCCACACGGCCCTTTGTTCTCGATAAAGCGCAGACTGTAGAAAGTCCCCTTGAAAGGATGAATGGATAGAAAGAATTAGCAGGGTGGAGAGAGACTTCCTTCGAGACAGGTTGTCCATCTGTCAGGTCAGCCGGGTGATTGAGCGAGGGAGAATGGCAGAGGCCTGGATGAATGGAGCGAGGGGTGGCAGCATAGGAGTAATAGATTTAAGGGGTCAGGAGAGATGAACTCTTACAAAAAGAGAGTGATGTGATTTAGAATGACTTGAGGCACTCTAAAGCTCCAGACCCAATCAGATACTCTCCAGGTCAAACTGTGCCAGGACGGGGGCCGTTGGCTTGGCGGTGTGTGTCTTCCTGTTTTGGGTTTTGTTACACAGGTTGCATTTGTCTTTTGAGTCGGTTTAGTATGTCAAATTTAACACATGACTTTGATGCGTGATGGATTTGGGGGTATTTAGCGACGAGGTTGTAGTCTGGAACCAACTTAAACTTCTGCTGTGTGCTGCGAAAAGCAAATTGCCCCATCTGGAGCCAGTGTTTGGTCTGTCCGCTCCTGGACGCGGTAGAAACATGGCAACAAACGCTAATCCCTTATTTCTCACACACACACATAGAGACACATACACTCCTATACATCAGTGCTGTGATGGATAGCTGCGTGGCCACTGTGAAGTTAGGAGCGGTGCAGGGTCATTTTAAAACGGTTGCTGACTTCTCCCCGGAGGGACGGGCGAGGTGGGTGGTCAGGAGCCCAGCAGCGTGGGTTTGTCTTTTTAAAACGGCTCTCTGAACAGAGGCGGCACGACAGCGATGTGTTTTGCTGCTCCGCAAGATCTATTAGATGTGAACGTTTTTTCTGTCAAATTTTGCTTGAGTTTGTTGAATAGTTGTTTAAAGAATTTAGATCTAATGGTCTTACAGCAGATCAATAACTGAGGGTGTTTGTCTGACACTTGATTCCTGTTTTGTTCGACGCTAATGGTATTTTCAATGCTTGGATTGCAGTGGATGGGGGGTAATTATAGATGGATCAAACATTATAAATAGATACAGTACCACTACAACAGGAAATTAAATTGATAAAATTGACAAAACATGACTTCCAAACATTTAAACTGTCTTTCTTCCTTCGCTTCTGTATTAGCCATTTTATAACAAACAGCATTTCATCAAAGTAGTTTTAGGAAATAATTTAAAGTATGTGTAGTTTGATTTTTGTTGTAACCATTATAACATAATATGCACTTCAATAAGTCCAGATGCTGGATAAGCCTTATCGTGTAAGTACTTACCACTATTTTATATTGAAAATTGCTTGATGTGACACATGTGTATGCAGTATTTGTACTGTATATCTAATGTTTGGATTTACAAAAAAAAAAAAAATCCCTCCATGAATTTGTGTGTGTATTGAGATTTGTTGATGTGAATATTGGAGGCTGAAGCTTTCTTCCTGAAGTGGTGGAGCTGTAGGTGAACTGACCCCGGTCCTGCTTGACCACTCCTACAGGTGCTAAAAAAAGACAGTCAGGAGTTTGTGGCACGGAGTTACTGGGACGTTCTGAGGCGAAGCGCCAGTCAAGTCCTCTTTTCTGACCTAGCAGAGGTACATGGACCCATCTGTCCTCTGTCCCTACATCCCTCTGTCCTTTCTGTCCTTTCTCCTTCCCTTTTGCTCTCCAGTTCTCTGCAGTTGATGTTACTCCTCCAATGATCAAGCTCGGCCAGAATAAGACCAGACATTATTTTCCTTCAGTGTAAAAGCTTTGAAGGCACAAACCTTTTAAATCTGCACTAATCGTACTCACTACTCATATTAATGAGGAGTGAAAGATTGTTTTTTGTAAATACTGTTTTTAAAGTTTGCTTGTTGTAGAAAAGGTTTGATCGCTCTAAAACGTTTCCTCTGGTTTGGCTTGATTCTGATCATCTCATCGACCGGCCTTTTCATCTTTCTTTCTCCTGTTCTATCCTCAACATTACTTTGTATCTATATGATTGTGAGGACTATATGCCAACCCACTGTTTTAGGAACCTATTAGTGTACAGACACTACTCGCATTCCTCCATTTCTTTTCTCAATTTGGGATTGTTTCTGCTTGGATGGGCTTTAAAAGACGTCTTTTCACTAATCACAACACATTCATCTGAAAACTGAAAATACTTTTTTTCTTGGGATAACTTAAGGCTCCTCCAAAGGCTTCCCCATTTTATTGTGTCATTTAGTTATTCCTGATCAACAAATACTGCTAAAACTGTTGGTTCTTATTTCTAAATAATTGAATCCATTTATTGACGTGACGGTATTCATCCAATATTTATAGATAACAGATATTGTCATCTGCATATTCTGATAACCTGTTCTGTTCACTTGCCTTCTATAATTTAGTCTCTTTTTGTGTCATGTATGTGTATCTGTTCCTTGTTATCTGTGCTGTGTTGTGGCTAGTTTTGCAGCTTTGCCGTCAAATCATTCTCACCGTACACCTCAACATGTTTAATGACCCGTGTGTAATGATAGGAAAGCGGCCTACGGATCCCCCCGTTCATTAAAGCACCACACAGTTTTATTTTAATACACGTTATTTCAGTATAGTAGTACAGTTCTCTACTACTGAAGGAAGCCAAATGTCGACCAAAGCTGGCAGACTTTACCTCCAAAACATCCTCCTCCATTCAAGTAATTTTGGACGGAATTAGTGGAAACAAAGACAAATCCAGTGTTTCCTTTGCATCCATCCAATAACTGCCAAGATATTTCCCAAAAAAACAAAGACTTTACAACTCAAATCAAATCAAAATCTCACGTTTTGGCCGGTTCATGTCCAACATATTTTGTCTTTCTAATATGTCCGACACAAGGTTAAGTTGCTGGTAATGATTACTACTGGCTAATAGTGCTGTAAGCTAAGTGACTAATGACAGGCTGTGTGCCATGTTGGCAGCGGAAGCTGAGGTGAAGATAATGACAGTGGAGCCTAACGGGACGGACCTTGTATCCCACCAGCAGCCTTTCATCCTCCGGGATGTCAGACGGACGGAAAAGACAAATCAGACAAAGGGGGGAGGATGGGAAGAGGGAAATATTAGGAGGACAAACAGGGAAATTATAAATTTGGGGGATTTTAAATTTGACAAAAAGTGAAACACGGATTAAAGGAAAGGGGGTAAATTAGAGAGAAAGAGAACAAACCAGATCAGATACGTTGGACACCTGAGAAGAAACAAAAAAAAGGGAAGAGATAAAATCAAAGAGACAACAAACAGGTGAGAGAGGCCCCAAGATGATGACACAGGTCAGCGGAGAGAACAAATGACGAGGAACGAAGTGTGAAGGGAGAAGAAGAAGTTTGGGAAACGCATTTAGGGGAAAAGAAAGAAGCAGGTTGTACTCTGAGAAAGATGTGTTTACTCAACAGATTAGTCAACCTTTATACCTCTTTGCTTTTGTCTAGAGAAGGAGGGCCTGAGTGGCAGGCTGAGAAGATGGGAGATGTTTGTCAGAGCAGGAAAGGATGGAAGGAGGTGACAAGAGGAGGGAAATAGGTGATAAGAGAGAAGTTGCGAAATAAAAATAAACAGGAATTGTTTGAACAGGTTGTTTTTACCTTGTAGAGTCTGACTGACTGACTACTAAAGTCGACAATGAGCTCCAAAGTATATTACTCACACAGGGTAAGGAAGACCGTTTAGTGCTTACATCAGTAATTACTGTTTTTACCTTCGGCTTCGTGATCAAAGTCTGTTGAGGCTCACACAGATGGACAAAGAGACACATGCGTGCACCAGGTGTTGGCTTGTGCCTTGTGGGCGGGGTGACCATTACGTCTTCGTGGGGATGATGAGCTCACACCGGTGCTGTCACACTTCCAGGAATGATAAGCTTGTTATGATCCGTTCAGCATTAAGTCTTTTTTCGAGGTCGGGCTGATGTTCGTATTAGCCAAAACAAAAATAATTTGGCGAAAGGGAGAGACATTTCACAGATTCTGTTCAGTGACATTTTTGGTTCACTACTTTTTCTTTTACACGATTTTCTCATCTTACCAATGGATCAAATCAGAATGTGAAAGGTTGCACTCATAGTACTGAACCCGCCGAGATTTACTACTCAACACAGCATTTTCCATGAGCTCTACAAAATGCTTTAGCTTCATTCAGCTCGTTCTTTTGGTTTGATGCTCCACAGCCTTGTTTTCAGCAGCTGCAGGTAGTTGTTTTCAGTGAAAAAGCTCAAACGAAACTAATATTCAGGAGCCGGCAGGCTCCAAACAGGAGGCACAGTGACTCGCGGGGGTCATAGTGAAGGATTTACCAGCTGAAGAGACAGACATTTCCCTTTGCTGGGGAGGCATGTTGGCGTTCACACTGACTCCAGTTTGCCATGAAATCTTTATCACGTGATAATATATCAATTTTGGGTTTGCTTGTTCTGCCGCCACCAATTAAATAACGCAGCTTTTACGGTGATCGGGGGAAATACAACATGGGTTCATAGCATGTAGATAGAGATGACCACCTTGGGTTTCATAGGTTTCCAAAAATCAACAACGGAATGCCGTCATCTCATGTGTCCATATTCAAAAGAGGGACAGAGGGATTGGCAGTATTTTAACTGTCTCTCATCAGTAGAGAGCAAAACAAACTGTTGAAGAAAAGAGGTGATATTGTGAAAGGAGGGAAGGGAGGCAGAGAAACACCACCTGGATGCCGTTGAAATCTATGAACAGCTCATTAGTCACCAAGACATCAGTGATGCGTCAGGTGAAATGAATTACTTTTGCCCTGTGTGCCTGTAATCAGAGGCTTCATGAACAGACCCTCAAACAAGTGAGAGACCAAAAAACAAGAAACGACACTGAAACGATACGCCTGTAACTCGTTTTAGTTTGTCTGTGTTTATTTTAAGAAAGTCTTTCCAATCAAAGACTGAAAGACGAGACTGCAGCGCAAGTCAGAATGTCCCACTGATGTTTATGGTCCCAAAACAGGCTTTACTTTTATTGCTTTTTTCCCCCAGAAGACATTTTTATCCAGTGAGTTAGTTAGTTAGTTATCAATTACAGTGGGATTTCTTCAGGGCTTATGCGCTACATCTCTCACCGTACCTGGGAACGCACCAACAACAAGTTCAAAGTCCAGCATTTGTCTACCCCATTAGATTTTAGTAGATTTTGTAGATTTTGTTTTTATTAAATATCACTGTTAGCATTAAGTCGTCACATAGAGAAATCTATGATGAGCATCCCCGGGTTGTGTGTATTATTCTTAAAGGTTTAAAGACAACAAGGAGCAGCACTTGCCTAAGTTCAATTTTAAACTATATGTTTTCTCTCCATTATTATTCCTGAGCCTCAGTTATAGTCATTTGCTGATTTTTGAAAAACTAAACACACAATTTTTTCTCAATCAACAACTATAACATCTGTGAAAGACGTGAATCGTGCACTTTGCTTTTTGTGAAACTGTCGTCTTGTTTGACATTTTCCTCTTGTCCCACGTCGGATTTTAGGATTTTGCTCTTAAGGTAGAACCACGAATGGCATCGTGGCAGCGATAATAATTATGTTGATGATGGAAAATGGCACAACAAATAATCCTCCTCTGCACACGAGACATGAGATTCCAGCCAATCCTGTGTCTTCATAAACCTCAGCATGGCAGTGGATTGGACGGGAGAGAGCATGAAAGTGACGATTGACCTCCTCTCTTTCTGCACTGACGCTGGGTCTCAAGTCTTTCCTTGAACTTCTCTAAATCGCCTTCTGAGGTACACATGTCAGGGAGCATAAACAGGGATGTACCTAAAAGGCCCAAAGAAGATGGCAAGAAAGCAACAGATTATAGCATGATAACAAACTTGTTGAATATGTTTCAAATGACCCGGATCCTTCTGTAAACAGAAACTGTGGAGGGAAGACCGAGATTGAAGATTGTGTAAACAGAGTAAATATATAAAGAGGGAGCGAGAAAACAATCAAATAAAGAATGCAAAGCTGCAAATACGACGCTATGATTCTCGTCAGTTGACGGAACAAGGTGGAATCGGCTCGCGTTCTCTGCTTCTGTGGGATTCCTTGCGTGCTGCAGCTGCTGTTGTTGTTGGTTTGAGGTGCAAATGGTTTGAAGTGCATGCGATGTGGTGGCCTCAGTGTGTCTGTGTATGTTTGGCAGCATAGTGTTATGTGTTTGTCCGTCTCACCCTCTTCTACCACATGTTATTTGCCTCTTTGTTGAACATTTGCATGAGTTTGCTGCTCGTTGTGCCTCGATATCTTTTTGTGTACTGACACCTGAGCAGTTGTTGCGTCCTCACCAGACCAGTAGTGGTCTGTGTTTCATGCTGCTCGGCAGTCTAGGTAGCATGAAAATAAAACGGCGCATCTCTCCCCTTCCTTGCTTTAAAAAGACAATGATAGTGGCTATCATGACTGTTAATAAATAAAATGGACAGAAACCTTTTGGTCCATTTTACGTCATTTCCCCATTCGACCAGTATCGGACTGAAAGCTTTGACGGTGACACGTTTCCGTCAAGTTTAATCAGCTGAAGCCGCCTGTTATTTGTTCAAAGTGATCCCATTCAGTTAGGAGGTTACACAGAAACGTTGTTTCTGCCTAGACTGGTATGATGTCATCATGGCCGCTTGAGCTGGTTCATTCGACTGACCATTTGTTCTTTGTTGCTCCTCTTGCGCACGTTCCGTACCAAAAACCTGCATCCCGCCAGCCTGGCAGCACAGTGGCCATGTTGGATTGATGGTTGACTCGTCCCGCCCACTGCTTCCCCGCTGATCACAATAGTTTGTGTTTATTGATTAGTCACTCATTGATCCTCTGTATTCTTTCTCTGATGATTGGCAGCGGGCAGATGAGAGTATCACGATTGACACCACCCTTTTGGTCCATTTCTTTGGGAAGAAAGGGAAGGCAGAGCTTACATTTGATGACTTCTACAGGTACTAAACAGAATGTAGGGAACAGCATGAAATATATGCCAATACTGTATATAGTAACGGTAGTATCGTGTTTCTTTTGATAAAGCTTCAGAAAACATCTATCTATTCTCCTATAGGTTCATGGATAACCTTCAAACAGAGGTGTTGGAAATTGAGTTTCTGACCTACTCTAAGGGGATGACCACCATCAGTGAAGAAGACTTTGCCAAAATCCTGCTTCGATTCACCAACGTGGAAAACATCAGCGCCTACCTGGAGAATGTCCGCCATTGTATACCTGATGAGAAGGTACGGCCAAAGACGTGCTCACTGTTTGTTAGCGGGGGTCGTTTATGTACGGGTAAAGGTACATTCTTACTATATGCTCTAGTTTTTTTTTTTTAAATGATTATATTAACAATGCAAACCGTGCATTGCGCCTCCTTTTGGGGAATCACTGGCTCCAAAGGATGTCACAGTGATAATCAGTTTAATGAGCTGCTGTGTATTTTGAAGAAAAAATAATCCAGAAAAGAATTTTGCATTTGTAATTCTCAATTGGTGAAATGAATTCTGCTTGCTTTATGGGAGCTCCCGCCCTCCAGCCATCTGAAGCCTCCATAATTTCCCACCACTATCTGTGCCTGAAGCTGTTGTTGCTCTCCACACTTCAACGCTTCACTGCCTCACACGACCACAAACACACACGACAAAGACACAGTTGACTGCACTTCCAGCTACATGTGAACATCTTATCTATCTATTTATTTATCTATTTACACAGTGGCATGTAGTCTGTATGCAACCCAACTCTATTTCTGTCCCTTCCTTCTTTCCTTTTCATGCTGTGGAAGAAGCAGGAGGTTGGTCTCGGCTTTGTACAAAATGCAGCCTGCCGCTACAATCTGTCAGTCTAATCTGCCATTTTGTTAGTTTGTTTTTTCATCTAAGGGAAGATAACTTGTTTACTTTTCAATCGATCTCTTTATCTAAATCTGCCTTATTTTTACGTAAACCTACAAAAGACTGCATTTCCGTATTTGTTTCAATTTTGAATGAACTATTAGTTGGATCTCGATTCACGGCAGAGAGCATGTGGTGGCCACGTCTGCTTGTTGAATGGCTTCAGCACTATTGATGTCTGCAAATGGGTTATGCAACACTGCAAGAAGGTTTGAAATCATGCGCACACAATCCTGTCATTAATGACCTTTTCAGTCATTAATAGGACTATTTCATGGAATCCCGAAGTTATTGATCGATAGTGTGAGTTATGGTGAGCTGTGCTTTGTTTTGGTTAGTTGATATTTCGGACTACAGAGCGGATGTGTCTTGAATGCTGTACGCACGTCTGTTCCTTTGGACGCCGGTCTGTGCTGAAACACTCGTTCCGTTTATTATAAAGCTACTTTTCCTCCGGTGAGCAAATCTTTTTATGGGCTATTCACATGTCTTGTCTTCTGCTATTTCAGGGAATCACCTTTGATGAGTTCCGATCATTCTTCCAGTTTCTCAACAACCTCGAGGACTTTGCCATTGCCATGCAGATGTACAATTTTGCCTCTCGCTCCATTGGACAAGGTAGGAAGGGAGCAGGGGCTGCGGGCGCCGGGGGTCTGAGCTTTTATTTCCTTCTAGCTTAATGCACAACAAGTGGCCTAAATGATCAAAGCTGTTTCTCCTACCAGATGAGTTTGCAAGAGCGGTGTATGTGGCCACTGGGCTGAAGCTGACACGGCACCTCGTGAACACCATCTTCAAGATCTTTGACGTGGATCACGATGACCAGCTCTCCTACAAGGAGTTCATCGGCATAATGAAGGACCGGCTGCACAGGGGGGGAAGGGTGAGGAACTGAGTGTGAAAGAAACAGAAGGATTGTTGCCATTTGACAGAAAGCACTCTTATTGACTTAAAACAGTAAATAGACAGCTTTGGCTCAGGACATAAAAGTGGAATATCAGCATGATGCTGAACCCCAAATTGCTCCTGAAGACTGTGGATAATCATTACTTATCAGCTAACAGCTACACCGCCTACTGTTTGAGCTTCCTTGCATTCATTGTAAGGATCACAGTATACATCGGGAGTTTAAAACGGCAATTACAGGAAATTAATAATGTGGCCAAAATGGAGCAGAGGAGTCATTCTGACCGTAAGTCAATTTGAATTGAACACAGATGCTAATACGTCTAAATATTGGCATGGTTGTTTTTTTAAAGGAGTTAGATTCTGACCATCCAGGGTGACAACCTTTTGGGAGAATATGGTTACAGTATTATGGAATTCCTAATAGTGATTTAAAACTGTGCTTTACATACTGTACTGTACATAGTGTTGTTCCCGCGGAGAGATACTGCTCCCTAGTGGCGTATTGTGGTACAATCCTCCCCTCCAAAGCATCGTTACAACAGAAGTGAGACACACACTTTTGGTGTCAAAACTTTTTCCGATATACCGCAAACGTTAATAACACTGTTTAACAGTCAGTTGTTCCATTTATGACCTTTGGAAGCTTTCTTGACCTCACGGTCGCAGCTTCTTAACAGTGATCTCTCTTTCTCTCTCCCTCTCGCTTTGCTTTGTTTGCATCCTCAATCCTCCTCTCTTTCGGACACACTCATCTGTTGTCATCGTTCACCATCATTGATGCAACCTCTGTTGTGTTACAACACACCATCTGTTGTCTTGCCTCGATCTTCCCACCTCTTCTCCCTGCGTTTTCTCTTCTTCCTCCTTGCGTCTTTTCTCCAACCACTGACCTCTCAGGGCTATAAATCTGCAGAGCGCGCCACCTCTTTTAAATCCTGTCTGAAGAAGGAGCTGGCGGGCAGATAAGTAACACCTTCAACCAAAAGTCTGAAACTGCTTTGACCGTTTTACATTCATATCTGTGGTTTATGTATTTTCACCTTTTAGGTGCGTTACCTTAATGAGTTAACAAAGTAGGTACATTTGAGCTTGATCAGGGGACAACCACTTCATTTTAGTAAAACAACCTTTTACATGCTAATCAATGTTTTCACTTTGCTAGCTAGCTAAGTTTGTCTTAGATGGTTAGATTTGTTTAAATATTTTTAAAGTCAACATAACAATTACATGTAGGCAACTTCCTGTAAACTGCAAGTAAGTGTAATTGCTACACAGCGTGTACAGAGCTGCAACAATGGGTTCATTACTAATCCTGAATGTGTGGGCAGCTTAAAACTATTTTTTTATTATTAAATAATTTCCCCTCCCTTCACAACTTTTATCCAACAAACAGTATGCAATAAATGAAAGACCTCTTGTTGGGAATATTTGTAGATATGGCATTAAAAGAAGTGAGTTCTGACTCCCTGCATGACCGTGTCTCCCTTTGCTGTTTACCAGGTGAAGGCCCGACACCGCACCTCCTTCTCGGCTGCCTTCACTCCGGGCGCGAAAGAGCACCAGCTCCGCAGGAACTGATCTCTGTATGGTCAGACTGATGCCCTGTGAGATGATAACGAGGAATTCACTCATTGTTTTCATCTTCATTGATGCCAAGTACAGTTTGCAGCAAAATACAGAGTTAGTTTTTTGGTTCTATTTGTTCTATTTTGGTGACGTCTTCGTTTAAAAAAAAAAAAAATCTTTAAGATATATATATTATTTTGAATGAAATATTACATATATATAACTATGCCAATTTCCGCATATTTTAAGTTAGATCAACCAAATTACATTTTTACTTAATATATTAAAAATGACTTATCACAACAACAACAGATGTTCCAGTCGTTATAACTGAAAGAGCACTTCAGTAACTCTTCATAATTGCATCCTTATACAATGAATAAGAGTAACGAAAAACACATTAAAGTACATTAACATATCTAAGATCAAAGATGAATTTGTAGAAGCGCATGTAGATTGTTTTTTATTGATCTCAATATTATCTTATCTTATTTTATCTAGTTAGTAGTTGTTGCTTTTTAATGCACTAAGGGTGTAATCACTATTGTTACAGATGAGATGATATATGATGCTAATATTACTACAGCACTGGGAACTATTTGACGTGAATGTAAAAGAATAAAACGGGAAGAAAGGGAAGAAATTTAGATTTTTCCAATTGTAATTTCAATATTTGATATTTTATTAATACTCTCTTTTAACAGACAAATAATTATACAACATAAATTGTTTTGTAAAAATAGATATGCAATGTATGACTAAATGTAATGTCTTTTGGAATGCCTTGGTGTGAAATATGGAATATATTTAAGTACATTTCAAATGAATAAAAGACTAGGAAATGGAAAGCCACTGTCAAAATGTTAATTATTCACGCTCTCGTTTTCTCATTTTTGGAATGATCTTTGATATTTGTCCTGCCAGTGAAGCTGATGAATGTTCTTTCATGCACAAATAAACTATTTTAAGAAAACGTGGAAAGGCCTTGGTGTTCATTGATCAAGGACCAGTCGCAACCAGTTTAAAATTGAAGACGGCGGACATATTACCGCCTAAATTTAGTGCTAAAGCCCACTTAGCGTTAACGGTAGTTGTGTGTTAGATTTTTACGTTACTTACGTATCGTTAACGCTCATTTCTGAAGTCTGAACTCAGTGCGAGGTCTTAAGTTTTAAACGGAACTAATGTCTTTGACAGGTTTCTACCAGGAACATTACAAACGATGCACCATTCAGCGTATCATGTAGAGTTTAAAAGAAACTAAAGTAACATTAAACCCGTTGAGAATCGCATGCGTCCTCCTGTTATTATATGAATGCAATTATCTAAATACCCCGGGCTCTTGTACAATCATGTAATCTATCAGTAAATATTAAATATGACTTAACGCCTCGTCTTCGAATTCGCAAAGCATTGTGGGTCATATGAAATTTAATTGTATCAATACATCGGCAGGTTTAGTAGTTTGGACCACAGTTGCATTGACATTGTTTTGTTACGGTAATGCTTTGTTTATTAGTATTTGGCTGGTTGTTTTGGGAATTATTGACGAGAAGCACCATAGCTGAGAGTGATAGTCTGTAGAATTGGGTTCTGTTAATCTAGAGAAGAGAGTTAAGACTATACTTTCAGGGATCATTTCTATAGTTTCTGACTTGAGAAATGCGTTTCTAATTTGTTTGGTCTCGCTAACCACGATGATGAGATGCGATATTCCCCACTGAGCGCGAAGCGGGCACAGAGAAGTGATTCAGTTCACACGCTCTGTGTCATTGATGACCGTTCTGTACTTCCTGGTGGAGTTCAGAGGTGGGGAATATGAACAGAGTGGTTACCGCAATTTGTTAAAGTAATATTACACAACGTAGTAGACATATCGAACCAGCGGGCGTTGCTCTAGTCAGGATCAAGCCGAAGATCAAATACAAACTGCATGACAGCAAATAAGTTCGATACTAACAGAGTGAGCGCTATCAAAATACAAAACCTTACATTCGTTTTCCGATCTCTGGCCTTCAAAATAAGATATCAAACTCTTAAATGTGCAAGTGAGAGTTCCTTCTAAATACAGAGACGTTTCTCACACTTTCAACCTTTGCCCGAGCGTCACCTGTGTTCCTTGCAGCCTAGCTTTTCAAAGTAACTTTCATTGATATATTCATACAATTTGAAATGTAGATCATTTCACATGTATCGAGTTTTGTTGGCGAAGAAAATAACCGGAACCGTCACGCATCGTCAACGCACGTGTCTGGATGAGATCATGAAAGAATCCTGAGAGGGAGGGGCTTAAAGAACAACCCTGAGTGAGGGTAGTTGTCCTGTGAATGACTTTTTGTTTGTTACCGCTTGTTAGTTAAGACTATACTTTCAGGGATCATTTCTATAGTTTCTGACTTGAGAAATGCGTTTCTAATTTGTTTGGTCTCGCTAACCACGATGATGAGATGCGATATTCCCCACTGAGCGCGAAGCGGGCACAGAGAAGTGATTCACTTCACACGCTCTGTGTCATTGATGACCGTTCTGTACTTCCTGGTGGAGTTCAGAGGTGGGGAATATGAACAGAGTGGCTATCAGAATGTGCGACTAGAATTAAAAATGAAAACTGTGCTCCAGATTTGGTAAAGACCTATGAAAGAAGATGATTGTACATTATCATCAAAATGTATTAATCTCTGATAAAGTGTAACGTGGTTGTTAGTTGCCTTTTAGCGGCCTCCTTCCTTTCACTCTGATTTGGACAGAAGAGAACTATATCAACATATTGCTTGTGCAATGTTAAAGTAAACTCAGCTGGACTTCTGGTGGTTCTTCGGCCTTGGATTGATTGAATCTCATCAGTTATCTCCGTACCTGGCGAGTCGCCTCGTGGCGTCAAGAGGCCCTTGAAGTTTAGGACTCTGTGTCAGTGCAAGTCACCAGAGAAGGGGGTTGTTTGGCTGATACAAATGAGGGCTTTGAACCAAACCTGGTGAAGAAACAGTTTAGCTCATTGACCCTTTAAGGAAGCTCCATGGTTGTCTCCCTCCAGCCTTAAACCAGTTACCTCCCTCTCATTGTTCTGTTGGATTTTGGCCTCCAGCTTCCTCCTGTATGTGTTGTAGCATTCCCTGAGCTTGTCCTTCAAGTCCCCTGAGTCCCGTGAGTTTGGCCGTCTCTGCATCTGAAGCGTGTTTTCTTCTCATTGAGAAAACATTTGAGGTCCCTTGTGACCCCTGGCTTGTTGTTGGTGAAGTAGTGTTGAGTCTGGGTTGGTATGGTGGCGTGTTCACAGAATCAAATGTTATTCTGTGGTGCATTCCGTCACGCTGTGGATGTCCCATGTGGTCCCCCTGCATCATCCCAGTCCGTCAACCCAAAGCAATCCTGCGTAGCTTCTTAAGCCTCTGTCCAGCTCCTCAAAGTCCTTGGGTGGTCACAGGCTGTCTCTGCACCACAGGAACACACGTTGGTGGTAACAAAAAGGAGGAACCATCAGTTGTAGTTAGTTCATTGTGAATCAGGTTTAATTTCCATGTTTAAGGGCATTACGACTATTCTTTCAGGGATCGTTTCTATAGTTTCTGACTTGAGAAATGCGTTTCTAATTTGTTTGGTCTCAACTGAGCGCGACGCGGGCACAGAGAAGTGATTCAGTTCACATGCTCTATGTCATTGACAATAAAAATATAAATCTTGAATTGATGACCGTTCTTTACACCCTAGTGGAGTATAGAGGTGGGGAATATAGACTTAGTGATTACTGTAAATTGTTAATATTTAATGGTTAATTATGTATTTTTCAGAATTTGCAAATGCCTTAACAATTAGGATAGTTATGCGTGAGAACTATTTATCTGCTGCTAATTGTCTGTCACACCAGGGTTCCTAATTCTGATCTTCAAAAAATATCACTCTTCAAGATGTGCGTCCCTCCCTCACTGAGAGCAAAACACTCGACTAGGTCTCGACTCTTCGCTGTCCTTGCGCCGAAATGGTGGAACGAGCTCTCTGAAGACATCAGGACCACAGAGAGCCTTCACATCTTCCGCCGCAAACTAAAGACACACCTTTTCAGACTCTACCTCGACTAAAGACTAACAAATTGTAGCACTCAAATTGTACTTGTAACGTCACTCATCTATAGCAAATTGTAAATTGGCTTATTTGAGGAAATTGCACTTTCTTGTTTCTTGTTCTCCTGAGTTTGTACCCTATGGTTGAATGCACTTATTGTACGTCGCTTTGGATAAAAGCGTCAGCTAAATGACATGTAATGTGCAACAAAAAGCTCCTTCCAAATACATTTCTCACAGCCATTTCCAAGACATTTCTCACAGCATCAACCTTTGCCCGAGTGTCTCCTGTATTCCTACAGCCTACTATCATCGAAGTCACCTTCCTCTATGTTATATACTTATGAAATTTGAAATGTAGATTATTACTGAAGTTTTGGTGGCGATCGCCGAAGAAAATAACCGGCAAGAGCGTCACGCAACAAAGTATCAATCACACGTGACTGGACCAGCTGTAAGAGGGAGGGGCTTAAAGAACAACCCTGAGTGAGGGTGGTTGTCCTGTGAATGACTTTTTGTTTGTTACCGCTTGTTAGTTAAGACTATACTTTCAGGGATCATTTCTATAGTTTCTGACTTGAGAAATGCGTTTCTAATTTGTTTGGTCTCGCTAACCACGATGATGAGATGCGATATTCCCCACTGAGCGCGAAGCGGGCACAGAGAAGTGATTCACTTCACACGCTCTGTGTCATTGATGACCGTTCTGTACTTCCTGGTGGAGTTCAGAGGTGGGGAATATGAACAGAGTGGTCACCGGTATATGTGAAAATAATTGAAATTAAATAATATGTTGTATTAAGGAACAACAATTGATAGAAGTTGTGACCATGGAGGGTACATTTAACATGATGATCTAGGACCAGGGTCGTCCCATCAGGTCAATCGCGATTGACTGGTCGTTTCTGGATTTACAGAAAAAACAAAATCAGAATTCACCCTCAGCGAAATCAAGACTATACTTCAAGGTATGACTTGGGAAGGTGTTTGGTGTTGCCAACCACAATTATGGTGAGTTGTAATATTCCCTTCTGAACATGAATGTGACACAGAACAATGCTTTTTTTCCCATATAGTCTCTGTCAATGACAAATGTTCATTGCTCCCTGGCGAGCTTTAATGAAGGCAATTTCAGAGTGGGTCCTGAGAAAAGTAAACGTTTACTGGTTACATATTTAATTGTATCTTTTTCAAAGTGCTGACAAATTTGGCGGCAATTTACTGAAGACAGACATACAAACATTGTTGATTTGCTGCCATTTCTAATGTTTTGTGTTGTTAAAGTTATGGAAAGGAAGAATGATAAACTATACAACATGTTTCACGAATATAGAGATGGCAGTAATGCCCCAATGAATACAGCAAGCTCCAACAAAGGCAGCTAAGTAAGAGAGTAAACATGGATGAAAATCATTCTCGATTTAACACACTTTAATATCAGCTTTGCAGATATTGGATATGGAGGAAAATGCAAAACACTGTTTTGTGATTTACACAAAAACAGAGCTCCAGTTCAGGTAATTTACTCATTCAATGGTGTGTTGATATGAACTATTAATATTGAGTAATGTTCTCATATCACATCCATGGGAAGAGAACAATTAGACCAAACAATGTGTATTCGATAGAAATACAGGCAATGTGGAAAATAATATAAATCTACAATCGGAGTTTCAATTTACTTAACATATGCAATGAATAATAAAACCTATCGCTTGGAGATCCAAAAGGGAAGGGTTAATATGGAAATAAACTCTTTTGAAATTGTTTTGATCCATCAAATACATTAAAGAGTAAACCAGAGAAGGAAAAGGGGCGGGTTCCTCCCTGAGAGCAGGAAGCTTTGCGTACGCTGCTGCGTGACGTATTACGTAAAGAAGTTGATCAAGCTTCTGCTGTTGGCTCGGACGGTTGTTTTCCTTCAGCAATAATTATCTCTCGCTTAAGTACAATTAATTACGATGCCAAAAAGTACATACAGACCCGGAAGAGACATTATATTCGAAAAGTTAGGACATGCCATCTGACTTTGTAACGTAACCTCAAAGCCAGCTCCGTGTGGACGACGAACCGAGTCGTTAGTCGCCCAGCTAACAGAGGTTAGCAACACCCAGCTCCACACCGTGCGCTGCTCCGTCTCAATTCCTCCTCCATTCCGTCTTCGTCTGTAGACGGCCTTTACATTCTGTCTCCAAGTTCAGTCCGTGGTTTCGCCAGGAGAGGATGAACTGGCTTTTCCCTCAGTCCAAAGGCTCCGGACCTCTCCCTCCTCTCAGCAGCCTCCAGCAACAGAGACAGCGGCAGATCGAGTCACTCAAAGCCGCTCACCCAAGGTAACGTGAACGGCTACCGGGTCGCCCCAACTACACCCCGGGGCTGCTGGTCACCGTGTGGAACACAGCACTAGTTTTCAAACTCAGTATGTGGTCTGTACACTATCTCTCCGCCACTTTACCAGCCTACAAACATCAGCGATGTGGACTAATCGAGGTTGACGACGAAGCTAATGTTTACTTAGCATAGCTAGCCGCCAGGCTCTCGGCAGATTGAGAGGAACAACTCTAGGCTTTTACGCTTTATGGTCTAGTGTTTAGTGTACATCACTCCCTGCGATTCGGGAGGTATGTTAAAGTCAACCAATCCATTCTACACGAACCCAAACCCACTGCATTGACATGTCCTCGCGTGAAAGCCTAATGCTCGCTAACCTCTCCTCGTAGCTAGCCGGCTAGCGTTAGCTAGTCATGTCAACCATTCATGTCTATTTGTAGCGATGATGACACGAGTTGTCTCCGGCTGGTTAATGTCCTGTGGCCCCTTGTAGTGTTTACCACGATAACGGATCAGGCGTTAGGTTTTAGCAGGAGCCTGATTAAAGTATTAGCCTTTGTTTACTAGGGAGCTCTGTCATCTCCGTGACAAGTTGGTCTCTATCTCCTCAGTGAAACATTTACTGACGATACAACACACTGTTCTATTATTTCACATCTGTGTGTGATGATGGTCATAACACTCGTGGTGTAGTATTTGGGTAACAAAGTAATTGGATTACACAGTCGAGGAAACGATACGTTCCATAAGGATGTGCAGTTCATGTGTGTGACATGTGCTGTGGAAATTGTTTCTCCTGACGTGACTGTGCTAAATGAATACACGGGGGAGGATCTTACTTTATTATTATTTTAAAACACAGTATTATTGGTACCAGTATCGAATGAAGCGTGTTAAACGGGTGTTTCATGCAGTGATATCAGGTGACCGTCGCCGGGGGATTGTTGTTACCATGCAGTCTACTGCAATGGGACAAAAGTGTGTTAGCTCACCTCTCTTTTGATATCTCTGTTATGTTGTTTTGATGAGAATTTGAGGTACTGTGGGATGATCAGTACATGAGCAGGATGTTCATGGACGTTGGTGGAACAATGTGCGGATCTTGATTGTCACAAATCAAAACCCACCTCTTCACACTGCTTTTAATGTATGACTGTATTGTGTGCCTGTTTCGTGTGTTTGTTTGCTTTTATTTATTTACAGCTTATCATTTAGGATATTTTAAAATGTTTAAATGAAATGTATTATTATAATTATTTTTATTAAGAGTTCTGATTGTATTTCTGTTTCCCAAACAGCCTTGCAGAGATCCAGAAGGATGTGGAGTACAGAATACCATTCACAGTCAACAACTCCACCATTAGTGTTAACATGTGAGTAGATTTTTGCCCACGTAGTCAAAGTGACTGACATGTTTTGGAAGACTACATGACACACTTCTTGTCAAACTTTTTTTTTTAAATTCATTGGAATTAATGAACTTGTATAAGTAGTTGAAATAAATTTAAAAAAAAGTTACATTACAAACACCTAAAACCCCAAACCATACCACATAAGGTTGAACCATTATTTTATTATTCTTGTAGGGTTGTATTCCCTTTTAATAATATATCATTTTATCCATTTCATTTATTTTATTTATTTTAAGTACAGACATGCATTAATCTTAACTATTACATAAGAATACAATGATTTAATAAATATGTGTATTACTGCCTCACAAATTTCTATGAGGAGGGAACAGCATCATGTCATATTTTCACAAGAAAATTAGAGAAGAATACACTTAGTGCTGAAAACAACACGTCTCACTGGCTTTTGTATGCTCATTAGAGCTGTTTGTAAAAGACTAATATTTTCCATCCAGTTGCCAATTTTAAGAACATTGTGTCCGTACATTGTGGGCACACATGAACATAAAATAATACCTTGTTCCAATATTGAGCACCCAGTACTAACTGACTTATGTTACTGTGATTCCTGAACGCTGATTCTCTTCTCTTGTCCGCTAGACTGCTGCCTCCACAGTTCCCCCAGGAGAAGCCGGTGGTTAGTGTCTACCCCCCGGTTGGTCATCATTTAGTCGACGGCAATAATGGCACCATGATCACCAGCCCCCTCATCACTAACGTAAGAAGTGTTCTCGGCCTTCTCGCTAAGGTTCATTGAGGAGCTTCTAGGAATATTCAACGAGTTTAGGTAGATAAAGTTGTTGTGACATTTACAGATTTATAATACAATAATAATTGTATTAATTGTAAATGTAATTGTACAAAGAGCCTCACGCTGCACTCCCAGCTGCAGTGAGAGCAGACAGGGGATTTACTTTTTAAACTTTTTCGAAGTTGTTATTCCATATTTCTATGAAACTCTTCCTTTTTGTGTATGTTGCAGTTTGGTATGCACTCAGATCTGGGTAAGGTCATTCAGACTCTGCTGGACGAGTTCTGGAAGAGTCCTCCTGCCTTGATGTCTGCCGGCTCTGCTGGCTTCCAATAGTGAGCTTCCTCTTTACTCTCATTGACACTTAAGTTATCTCTCATTATACTTCATTACACAATGTAGTCTGGGTGTTCTGTTGTCTTGGTTTGCTCCAAATGTTTTTTTTTCCATCATTTCTACATTGTGTCATTGTAGTAATAAAGTGTGTGTAATTTGTTCACTTCAAAGTTATATAAAACTTGATTTCCGGAAACATGTTGGAGGCCTGCGTCACAATTTAAAAGTTCAGTCTAGTGATTACCTCGTCTTCCAAATTCTTAACTGCGAAGCTGGTAAATAAAACCAATAAATTAAGACCTAGCCTGTTACAACATTTTTTCCTGCTATGGTTTACTCTTGGAATAAATTTGTAATGATTACTTTAAATAATCATACATCCTCTGACTTTCACCCAGCAGTATGTACAAGCCTTCGGGGATGGCGCCTTACCCCACTCAGGCTTATCACTATGGTCCTCGTCATGGGGGCCCGAGCCACACGCCGCCCCCTGGTTCAGGTCCAGCTCCAGCGCCAGGGACCGATGGTGCCCAGGGGCCCCCTCGAGCTCCGGCCCCTTACGGCCTGATCAGTGACCTGCCACTGCCTGTTCCTACGGGAGACTCCCAGGTACAATTGCATGAAGTAAAGTAAATATATTCATGAAGCAAGGCAAGCATGTAGTCCAGCAGTGACCGCGTCAGGTTCATCAACCTTTTAAACAGGGGTTGCAAAAGCTAGTGATAACCTATGATCCTCCTGGCCGAGCTTTCAGTTTTGCTGTCTTTTCCTGCAGCTGATGGCTTTAATAATTGACATTTTTTGAAGAATGTGACTCACTGATTCCACTGCTGTTCATTTCAGGCCGGACTAAACGGACACATGTACAAGATGCCTGAGATACCGGAGTCTTTCCCTGAACTCTGTGACTTGAAGTAATGTGTTTCCAAATATTATAGACTTAACATCTTTTGTGTTTTATGACCCATTGTGTAAGCATGTTATAATGTCAGAGAAACCATTCATGTCTTTACCATTATTCGTTTTCTAACTTACTGCTGAACGTCCACCTATGTTTACCCCCCCAGCCTGACCCAGTTGTCGGATATGTCTGAAAACGAGGACATGTTACTGGAATTGTTTGTGACTTTGCCACAACTGAAACAGGTCACTAGTGATAAAGAAGAGCTGGTGACCAATATAGTGGACATGGCAAGTAAGTTTCTCCTTTGCAGCTGGACCAAAGGTCTTCATAGGCATTGATCATGAAATGGAATGGAGAATTAGTTGAGCTTTTATGTCATTTACAGAGAAAAACCTTCAGTTGGAGCCGCAGCTGGAAAGAAAACGACAAGAAATGCTCTACAAGGTCAGATATTACATCCAGTGTCTTTCGCAAACTTTCCAACAGACACACACACACACACAGGCGCACTACGAGCAGACGCACTACGAGCAGACGCGGGCTATTGTCCGGCAGCTGGTGACTCGTGTTTTTGTCCATCGGCAGTACGAACAGCTGACTCAGATGAAGTTGGCCTTTGAAACAAGGATGCAGAGACAGCATGATCTCAGTGAGGTAAGAAGCTGCACCAGGGATGTGCTACGGGGCAGCGACTGCAAACAGCAAATGTTTAATGTTAATAAGGTGCTGGACTGCATTAAACACTTTTAAAATAGACAAATAAAAAACTGGTGCCTGAAAGTATGAGCTGATGTAAACTTCAGTCCAGAGTTAACTTGCAGCTACATGTCAACATGTGTCTCCTACTGCGCACAAGCCCTCGTGTGCAGTGAGGATTGTCTCCGGTTAGATGGGATTATGATGCCCTACCAGTGAACTGAAAGACCACATTGTTTTGCCCTGTCAAGCAGTTAACCACTGAATATGTTTGCCTTTCTGTTTTCCTCATCCCCACTAGAGTTGCAGTCTTAGTACTCTACAGGCCCGCTTAAAAGTTGCAGCTCACCAGGCAGAGGAGGAGTCGGAGGAGACGGCCGAAAACTTCCTGGAGGGACGCGCAGACATCGACGAGTTCCTGAGCAGCTTCATGGAGAAGAGAACAGTGAGATGTTCTGTATTTGTGGAACAATAACCACAACATTTTTTTTCTTTCTGAATGTGATCCAAACTTATAGTTACCCTTTAAGAGGAAAGGTGGTATGACTGTTTGTGTTTTAATCCACAGCTTTGTCACAGCAGAAGGGCCAAAGAAGAAAAATTGCAACAGTCCATCAACACACATGGACAGTTTCCCCCCAGCCACTAAAACACAAGGTACCAAATGCATATGACTGTCATTTTCCTCTTTGTGGAGGGATACTTGTGGGACTCAGCTGACTATTTCACCACAGGCAGCGCTCGTGGTGGCCTCCATTTCTATCAGGGCAAAACGCGTTGTCATATCCTCATTCTTCTTCTTACTTCTTATGTTTGGTCCTCAGATTTGGTGTTTTCTCAGCCAACTGCTGCCAACTTTAAGGATAAAGACATTTGCTGGGACAAAAAGCACACTGGGTCAACAATGGGCACTTTGGAGAAATAGGACGAAAGTGATAGAAGTGGTGGGCAAAGAAAACAGAAGCCCACTGTGCTCCGATCTGGACTACAAATACTTTTGAAGTTGGCTTGTGTGAAAGCAAGACGGAGAGTCTATTGAGATACCACAAGAGGCCAAAACTGGGAGACCACACTAAGATTTGATCTCACTGTGGGTGATTTCTTTTGCACATGCTTTCTGTTCAGATTTTACTTGACATTAATGACAAGTTGGTATTCTTTACTGTCACAGTGGTCATCGAGATCAGATTTGTTGTTGTTGATGTTAACTCATCTGGTAGAAATTATTTAGGACAGGGCTTTTATTTCTGTGAGTTAATCTCCCATCAAATAACAAACCTGATCACCGGTCAGTCTTTTTTTTAATTTTTTGGTTCAGGTTTGTGGGGGGAGAATAAAATGTTTCTTCAAGGTTTATCATACACTTTCTCTGAAGTTGACCAGTTCATTCAAACAGCATATGTACACTGAAGTTATCGAGATATCCATATAAACGGTAAGCCTTCTACGTGAATTCCGGTATTGGAGCACGTGTATACATGCTGACAATGATCAACAGCAGAACCCGTCTATTTTCTGACACCATATGAACTTGTAATTGTTGACTGACTCTTAACTGAAGAGCCTCAGAAGATTTGGGATAATGTTGAGGAATATTAGGGTTACTTGCTACAGTAAAACATGATGACATTGGATACTGTATTTAAATAATGTTAATAATAGGATATATTGTAATCAAAGACTCAGACACCTTGTATTATATGTTCTTATTTAATTTGTTAGTGGAATAAAGCATTTAGCATTAATCTTGTTTGCTGTTTGAAAATGACTTGACTCGCTAACCTTTTTTGGCATCATTTAACTATAGATTTTGATCACAGCACAAATACTACAACACTTGATGCATTGTCTGTTTTTAATTACTCACGTTCAGGGGAGATACTTTTAACGTGCCTCTCAGTACAAACACTTCCATGTTTATCTCAGGACGAATAAGGTCTTTACATTTAACTATTTATACCTGTCACCTTTTTTCTGTATATTGCCAAATACTAAATAATATACCTTTTAACTTTATCAGCAATTTATGATCTACAGTATGTCTATTCCCCGATTAAAGCTACTGAATAAACACAACATATCAGTTTTAATGGTCAGGAGCTTCAGAAGCACACAAGGCTGTTTTGTTGTTGTGTTGAGAATGAGAGTCTTTCCAAGCGTACTTGCCGGTGTCTGTTACAAGTTCAGCAAGAAAATTAATTAAACCTACAGTTTTTGTCCTGATTATTACGTGAAGCTGTGACTGGGAAATGTCAGTTGTACTACTGACAGACTTTTTACGTCCATCCTTTTATTAGTTTTAAATCAAGTATTGTATTCAATATTTGATTACCGTCAATATCAATATTCTAAATATCCTTGTTTAGTTGCACAATGGTGGATATGTGGCGATATCTCACCACACATGCAACTTCCGGTAAAAGGCAGGAAGTGGAGAAGAAGAAAAGAAAAATAACAGGAAGTGTTTATTACTGGAGGGCAGATGGTAAACTTTTCCATGACCTATTATGACTATAGAAGCTCGTTTCTGCTGGTGATTCCGAACCTTAATTCGCCGGAAAGCTAAACTGCAAATATATAACGTTATTCATCAATACAAACCTCCAACTTGGCGCTGGTCAGTAAGTTAACGGTTAAGTTAGCTCAATTTAGCTAACGTTACTTTGCGGCTGTTGAAGCAGTTGATCTAAGTTAAGTTAGCTAACCTTAGCATTAACATCCGCTAGCTAACGTTACGTTCCAAATACAAAACTTTAACTTTGTTATTATCACCGTATCGGACAACTAACGTTGTGCTAACAGCAGGTTGATGCTAAGTAACTTTCACTAAAATTGGTGATTCCTTGATGGGCGTTATTTTTTTTTGTGTGCACTGGTGGATTTATGAATATACTATACTATAGTATACTATACTATACTATACTAATTAGTTAAGTAAAACCCTGCCGGTATCTTCTTGTCTGCGTTGTTCCAGAGACATGTCAAGACAGATGGGAGACAGCCATCGACGGTTCCTACAGACCATGATGGCCAACGGCATCGTTGATGAGCAAGGGGCGACGACGCTCTATCAATATTGTTGTGAAACCCACAACAGTGAGTCATTTTATATAACGAAACGTTTGTAAAGTTATTGATCCAGAATAGATCTCTCTGTATCAGGGTTACTTACTCCCTTAATTGAAAGTCCTCTGCATACTTGCATTTGCTTAACTTTTTCACCCATTAAGTCCAACTCAATGTTTGCCCTTTACATTGATCATAAATGGTAATGTAATGCGTTTCTAAACTTTACAAACTCGTCTTTGTAATGTTTTAGCTTTTGGTTAATTAAAATGGTTAACTATACAGAAATGGAAATATTCACAATAAAATGAATGTATTTGCTGCATATTATTTCTAATGTGTATATACCTTTGTTATACTCGGGTGAACCCAAAGCTGCATTTCTACTAAGGTGGACATTACAATATCAGTTGAAAGGAACAATACATTATTTGAGAAGTCCGGGAAATTACAAGTAGGACACTTGGTATTCAAAAATTGTCCTTTTTTGCAGCACAGCATGCCCCTGACAAGCTGGATGATTTCATTGATGCCATCAACTTAAAGCTGCAGCCTTTGTTTATGCAGATCAGAAAAGGGATGTCTGAAGACAACGGCCACCAGTTTTACGCATTGGTATGTAGGGTTGGGTACCGAGCTCCTATACGACCGGTACCTACCATAACAAAACACAATGCAGATTTTGGTGTTTCCTTTCGGTGCCTGAGCCAATTGAAAATTGTATTTATTTACATTACTGTGATGACTGCGTCCTCGCGGCAGCTGACGATAGCCTACTGCTTGTGTAGCTACAGTAGCTAGCCTTCTATTTGTATTCATTTAAGTCAGTGTTTCCCCTCTGTTATTAAAGTCTGCACGTTTTTTCGTTGTGCACGGCACTACCGCACCAATGGATGCTGGCAGACACTTGTGAATACACACAGGAGAGCACGCGCTCGCCAGCGGACGCAGAGCGTGCGTCCGCAACCTGAAGTATTAAACCGAGGGTGTAGCGTTGTTCCTTCAGTGTTTGTCATTAAGCTACATTGAGCTGCAGACATGTGACTCCATTTCCTCACGCGAATGACGGCAGATCGTTTGATTCTTTTCGTCTTTATTTTACACAACAAATTGTTAAATCAATAAAGAAATAATAAATTCTATCATATACATACAAGGACAGTCCATCCAACATAAATGCTTTCATTATATGTTACATATCTTTAGCTCCTGAACAATGAGCATACATCTAAATCCAGAATAGATCTCTAAATCTAAAATTAAATGATTCATTTTCCCCAAATTCCAATGAACTAATGGATACACTTCAAGGTGTTACAAAGGGGAAAAATTAAGTATAGTGTAAACTGTAAACAGTTCATATATTGTTCATAGTTTGAAGTTAAAAAGCTACTCCCTGTTTTATTTGAATTCTGTCCAGGTGAACATGGCTGAGACTGATGTCACCAGAATGTCTTCAGATTACGCCGACAATGAGCTAGAGTTGTTCAGGAAAACAGTAAGTGAAATTTTCACAAGAAAATCCTGCTTATCCAGCTTTTCTAATCACTTTAGACCATGCATTTGTAAATGGAGGAAATCCTATGACTATCAAGCTCTGGTTTTGCCCTGTACTGCTATTTACACTCTAACCTGACAACACGGATGAATCTATTGCAAACCAGTACAACAGCCTCGTTTTAAAATTCCTCCTTTTGTAGAAGTATGCATCAACACTTATAGTTAAACTAAGCAATAAATCAAACTTGCACCATCCAAAACACAACTTTGCTAAAACAATCACAAATAGTGAGCAGAAAAATCTCGGTGACACCATGGAAAATCTGGAGTCTGATATTAGAACATGGGAAAATGAACAAATGAATAACTTGGGCTGCTCTGAATCAGATGGACTTGATTGTGGGCTCTGAGAACGGCAAGGCCTCGTCCACCGAGATCCTGAACAGCGCCGACACCCTGACCACGAAAAAGCTGAAGAAGAGCGAAACGGAGCACCTTTTGAACCGACTCGTGCACGACAAATGGCTCAGTGAGGTAAAACACGGTGTTTCCAACACAACGTCAAAATACAATGTTCTCACTGCTTCATTTCCTTCAAATGGTTAACTATCTTTGTCTGGCTCAAAAGGTATGTTTTAACTAGGGCTGTCAAAATAAATGCGATTAATGTGGCTGAGATTAATGTTAAAATATTTTAATGTAGTTAGCGTACGTTTGTTTTCTTGCGGGAACGGAAGCTCAAGATTATAAAAAAAGACTTTAAAAGATAAACACACATTCATTAAAAACAACATTGTAACAACAAAAGCAACATTCATTATCAATTTCAAAATTTGCATTTAATACGTTAATTTTATTTAATATATTGACAGCCCTAGTTTTAACATCAATTGAGCACTCGTATAAAAGACTACCTAATCTGGCTTTCCCTGTCGGGAAATAAAGTTGATGAAGAGTTTTGCAATTTAGTCTGGTGAAAGATGCCAAATATTATACGGGATTGCTGCCTATAACTTAAAATGAGAAATAAACAATGCAATCTTAAGATAGGCTATCATGTTTGTAGCTTTGACATACTTGTTCATACAAGTTAGTCACCCCATGTCTTCTTCATTTTATTTATTTTTTCAACCATTTAAAATACTACTACCAACTAAAGTCATCTAACTAGAGCAATTTTGACTAGTATCCTTGCTGTGATATTCCAGAACCTCTTGCTCTATTTATGTTTGTTTAATCGGTGTGTAATTTATTTTTGTTCATTAATGTAGAAACGGGGTGAATACACTTTGTCCACCAGATGTATTATAGAGATGGAGCCATACATTCGTACAATGTATCAAGAGCAAGTCAAAGTGTGCCACATTTGTCACAGCATCGCCTTCCAGGTAAATGTTCCCCCTGTTACTGTTATTTATCCTAAACGTTATACCCTGTGAAATAAACCAAAATTAAGTCCATAACATTTAGCACTTTCAGTACTTCAGTAGCAGTAATTTCATTGAATCACTACCTTAAGTAAGAAATGCGTTACTGCATGTATAATAGCTTAAAGGTAAATACTCTTCTCTAGCTAATTTTTAATTGTGTGGCCGTGGCATTACAGATACATTTTTTTCTATGTGGCAATATAATTCTCAAATCAAATCTTGTAATATAGTAAGTAAATATAGTTGAATATTTCTACTATTTTAAGCTGTTTCGATTACAAGAATTTGAGAAATTAAAGTAAGAATATTGCTTTGGAACCCCTTTGAATAATGTGTTTCTGGAGTTCTGTTTCAGATTATCTTTCTTATCTTCCATTTTAAAACCAATGTTCACTAGTTTAATACAAAATATTGATCAAATCTATCTTTTCAGTGCCAAATGTGTGAGAATCCTACTTGTGGAATAAAAATACACAACCCATGTGTGGCCAGATACTTCAAAGGAAGAGCAGAGCCGCGGTGTCCAGCTTGTGATGACTTTTGGCCGCATGAAATCCCTGGTATTTATTGTTTATTTACACACAAATTAGATCTACAATAACTACATACATCCATATTGTAATGTCCTAAATGCAATTTATTACTTGCAAACTGCCAGCTTACAAATTGATTTCCAGGTTATTTTGCATTTCAAATGTCATGTCTTTTTTTTAAAAAGGTGAAAAAACACACGAGTCTTGCATTGTTCTTTTCGTCTTGTCTTTTTAACTTATCTCATCAGATAGTATATTAGTTGCTTGAGACGTATTAACAATGAATGGTTGTTTGAATGACAAGTGTCTCCAGCAGGAAACGGCTGGCTGCTTTTTTGTCTCATGTATTGTTTGTGCTCTCTGTTACAGAAGTTTGACGACCTCGGTCTCATTCCAGAAGATGAGGATTTAAGCATCAACTTATTGTTTAACTTGATTTGTTTTTAATGTAACTTTGTAGTAAACTAAACTATATTTAAAAGTATTTCATTCTCTTTGTTCTTTCTTGGTTATTTTTGTAAAAATAAATGTGTTTCACTGTTTTTGTGCATCATTATCAGTATCATTATTTATGACAAAAAGCAACGCCTTTTATTATGGTGCTAGTTTTTTATACCATATATCTGCTAATAAATAAATGTGTTTGTGCTTTTATTGCAAATATATTTCAATCTTGAAGAACGCTGTTGCTAAATTCCAAATTGTGTGTCTATTATCTTCTAACCCCGGTATTTTATCATTATAGAAAACTGAGGTTTATACATTTTCACAAAGGTTGTAATGGATCTCCGTATATGAAGTGACATGACACACTGCTGGTGAACGTGACGTTTAATAATTTCTTAAACTTGTAAACAATCTCCACCTTTAGAGCTTTATCCTCATACGGGTCCGTCAAACTATCACACTTGTTAAAATGTGCATTCGTCTGTATAGCCGTAGCCGCATTGTCAAGTTCACATTCACACATAATACAAAAATGCAATTCTTTTGAAGCTTTCAAAATAAATGTAATTTATCAATTAGAGAGAAAGGAGCATAGCGCGTCTATAATTAAAACAATACAATATCATCTAGGCATACATGAAAAAACAAAGTAAATAGAAGGCAATCAACCCAAAACAAACCTTCCATGGGGTTATTTACAAAAGCCATGCAGCTCATAATAAAAGTGTGGAGTCACTTCAAATGATATTTTCCTGAGACGAGTTCTGCTCAAGTATCTTTAGGGTAACAATTAACTTGACCGCTTTTCTAAACCACGGATAGAACAAAGCATATATGAGTGGGTTCAAACAAGAGTTGAAAAACAGCAGCCAGGACACAATGACCCAAGATGAAGCATTGTTTGATATCTCCTGTCCTGCAAGAGCGGGGTAATAGAACGGACAGAAACTGATCAAAAACACCAGGATCACCATACCCAGAGTCCTGGCTGCTTTTCTCTCTGATTTCTTGGCGGTGATTTTTACTGCACCGACCGCCGTGAAATGAGACCCGACGCGCGCCTGAGACACCGCCACCGTAAACACTCTCACGTACAGGACAACGATGACTGAGCAGGGCGCGAAAAACGTGAACACCAGGTCAATCGCGCCAGAGACATTGTTAATCACCACCTTACATTCCCCATCGCAGGAGTTATCTCTGTCCGGCTGCCTGAGACGGTCCTTTAAAATCAGCCCGTTGTAGAGGACCGAGACGGACGGACGGACGGACGGACGGACACACACACACACACACACACACACACACACACACACACACACACACACACACACACACACACACACACACACACACACAGCTCAATTCTGCTGCGGGTGATTTGGATCGGATACTGCAGAGGATAACAAATAGCAACATAACGATCAATCGAGATGAGCACCATGTTTCCCACAGAGGCTGAGACAAGAGTGGAACCCATCATAGTAGACAAAGTGCACAGGAGGTCGCCGAGCAGCCAGCAGGTTTCTATGACGCTCACCATTTCTGACGGCATTACCAGCAACCCCACGAGGAGGTCTGAGATGGCCAAAGAGAGCAGGAGCAGGTTGGTGGGGGTGTGAAGCTGTGCGAAGTGGGAGATCGAGATGATAACCAGCAGGTTGAGAAGGACCGTGAGCACGGCCATGGAGGAGAGCAGTGTGTAGAGCAGGACACTCTCAGTGCGAGGACGCAATAAACCTCTGCAGGAAGAGTTCAGGAGCTGAGGGAAGCAGAGCTGTGCTCCCTCCATGCCGTCCATCATGCAGTGCTGAGAGGTGATGACCTGAACCTGCTGACTTCAAGATCCTCTGAAGGTACGAGATATAGTGCAGCTTACTCTTCTCTGATGCCACTCCACCCTTCCTCAACTCCCCAGTCACCTCCTCCTCCTCATCATCAATTGCCTTTGTAAGTTTATTCCTCCCATTTCTCTTTTGCTCCCACGAGACAAGCAGCACATTAGTTTCTTAACTGATGGAAAGCTACTTCTCTTAACTTTTTTTTCGTTGTTAAAGTTTTGTTAAAGATTCGTTAAAGTTTGATGACCAAATTTGTGAATATGTCAGTCAGTTACCAAATCATGCAACTAATTATAAGGTTGTTATCCAGTTATCCGATCCTAGCCTGCATTAACACAATAAATCTAAAGTTTAAAAAGTGTGCCCACTATGTAAATGCATGCTGAAACAAATTGAGTCATTATCATGATTTATTGTTTTAAACTGTATTCCTTATTATAATGATATAATAACTTATTTATATGGTAAGTTACAGCTTAACAATACGCACACAACTTTTCCAAAATACATCAAAAACCAATCAGGCAGTTTAAAATAAGTAAGATAAAATCTGCCAGATATATAAACAATTCAGATGGTAAATGTGAGTTTTTAGAAGAGATTTAAAAAAGGACATTGAATTTGCCTGTCTCAATTCGCTTCCACAGTTTAGGGGCCCTGATCACTTTTAGTGACCAGTCAAGTACTTGGGACTGTTCACAGCCCGATACCGTCATTATTAAAACGAAGAATGTTTACGAGTGAACGGATGAGATTGAAGAACTTTTGTCAGAAGAAATGCATAAATATGACCGCTTATACAGGCTGTCATTGGCGGGTTGTAGAAGCGGGTTAGATTCATGGAGGGAGATCTCCGCAAACGCCGGTTTTCCAGTCGAGAGGTGCACAAAGTTGTGGAGGAAAATACGGGACAAATGTGTCCGCGATGAAAAGCAGCAGTGACGATGCACGGGGCAATAAAGTCTATGATAAATAAATAAACAAACCAACGACTTTCACATACAAAGACGTGACTCTCTATGTCGTCTTTGACCAAAACACGTTACTCCACCTACTGTTCTGGCGGTGAATTGCTCTGCAACACACGCAAGACTTTTAGAACCATGAATTGAAACAAGTGCGTCGATGCAACTACGCAGACGCAGAAGCATGTGCCAGCCTTAAGTTAACTGCTAGCGTGCCCTCCTATCTTTGCGAGGTTTGACCCGATCTAAGTCTGTTTTGCCTTCTCTTCTGAAGCAGAAGAAACTTGAATCCTTAAACTCTCAGTTTGTCAAAACAGCACAATTGTGATTGTTCACTGATTAGGGTGTCAAGCGGTTGTTGTTTCGCATTTTGAGGAGTTTCTGGTGAGGGCAATCAACCTTTTGTTTCCAAAATGACGGGGGAGTGGTCAGCGCTGCTCTGTCCTGCTCAGCTCTGCACAGCACAGCACAGCACAGCTCAGCTCAGCTCAGCTCTCGTGCTCCACTCTCGTGCTCAGCTCAGCTCTGCTCGGCTCACGTCCCCCGATCTGGATCCTACCAGAGACAATCAGTGCAGATTATTTCCACCTGTGCTTTCTCCTCACCTACCAGCACCGTCCATTGGACCACTCCCCCGCTCTCCCCCCTGCAGTTGAGCTAACCACGCCCCTCCACCACAGGCAAAAATAGGCAGGAACCAAGAACATCCAACAATCAACAATGACGCGACAAGTGACAAGAGACAAACACTGCTTTAATACACTAGGGAGGTGCAGGTGGTTGGACACAGGTGGAAACAATCACAATCACAGGGGATGACAGGAGACAAGAGGCAGAAAACTACAAAATAAGACAGGAAATAAACCCCACCGTGACAGTACCCACCCCCCCTCAAGGGCCGAATTCCAGAAGGCTCAAAACTGGCAGAGAGCGGACAAGGGGCGGGAGGGAGGGAAACCAGAGACGTTGGTCGGACTGCCCGGGGAACTCTGGCGGGCGGCCAGACGGCCGAGGGGCTTCCGGGGGTCAGCCCGGCGGGCGGTCAGCAGTCTGGCTCCGGAGCGCCGACTGCAGGGCACTGAACGTCTCTGGAATGGCCGGCTGGGAAACACGGAACACCTCTGGAGTCGCCGGCTGGGGTACACGGGAAACCACCAGAGTCGCCGGCTGCGCGGCGCATGAAGCCTCTGGAGTTGCCGGCTCAGCCCCCGCCATAGCCCCCCCCTCAAGGGCCAGATCCCAGACGGCCCTCAAATCACCAACGGGAGGGTGGGAGAGGACCACAGGATGGGAGGGAGAGAGCCTGAGTCGGGGAGCGGGGACTGGAGGCGTCGGAGTCATGAATCTCGGGGCCGGGACTGGCTGAGTCGGGGTCAGGAGTCTCGGGGCCGGGACTGGTCGAGTCGGGGTCAGGAGTTGTGGGGTCAGTACCGATGTCAGGATTCGTGGGGCCAGTACCGGGGTCGGGGCCAGGAGTCGTGGGGCTGGTACAGGGGTCGGGGCCAGGAGTCGTGGGGCCGGTACAGGGGTCGGGGCCAGGATTCGTGGGGCCAGTACCGGGGTCGGGGCCAGGAGTTGTGGGGCCAGTACTGGGGTCGGGGCCAGGAGTTGTGGGGCCAGTACCGGGGTCGGGGCCAGGAGTCGTGGGGCGGTAGAGGGGTCGGGGCCTGGAGTCTCGGGGCCGGTACCGGGGTCAGGGCCTGGAGTCACCTCTTACTCCTATTTTCTTCTTTCGCTCCTCCTACTCACAAAGCCGGCAATCAACTTGACCACATCTTCACCAGAAATTGCTCTACCACTAACGTCTCTGTTACTCTACTTCATGTGTCTGACGGAAACAAAACGGCCACTTCTTCATCTCTTACTCTCTCCCACTCTCTATAACTAACGACCTTGCCCCATCAACAGACGCTGTACCTGTTTGTCGCAACATTCACTCCCTCTTCTCTGGCCTCCTCTGTTCTATCAGCCCTGCCTTCAACTGACTCCTTCTCACTCTTGCATCCGAATGCTGTCGCAGACTCTTTCCTACTCTCTAGACTCTCTCTGTCCTCTTACGATACGATGGACTGGCAAATCCCCTCCGGCTCCGTGGCTGTCTGAACCGGTGCGTGTCATGAGAGCCACCATGCGAGCATCGGAAAGGAGATGACCTAAATAAAACCGTAACGTAAACCAATTCCATCGGTGCAGGCAAACGTTAAAACAGTTTTCCTCACTTCTGCTGTCAGTTGTCATTTCAGCACGCACCAAGGAAACCCGCCACCACCCTGGACACCTCCAATCTACAGCAGAACCTGGCATATCAGGAGATTGCAGCACACTTATTCTCTACCATCACCACCAGTGTCTGGACTCCCAAAGGGGGGAAGGTATGCCTCATCTCGGCTCGGCATCCCGGCCCCCGGACTATCCTACGGCAGTCCAAGCCCCCAAACTTTGCAATATAAATATTTCTGCCTCATTTTATATTCATAAATAAAGCATTGTTCAAATTTCTACAAGTCTCTCCGGATTGAAATAACAGCTGCAGCATTGCTAAAAACTGAAAAGTGTTGAATGCATATATATTCACCTCCTTCTTCTGTCAACTAAAACAGATCTGGTGTGACCAATTCCCTTCACTCAAGTCACATTTCTAACCACATAATTAGTAAATAGGGTCCACATGTCTTCAATATAATCTCAGTATAAATCTACCTGTTCTGTCAAGACCTCAGAATTGTTAGACCATTACTGAACACAAAGTACAATGAAGACATAGGAGCTTACCATATAGAATTATGATTAAACATTAATCAGAGAAGCAACCCAGAGGCTGGAGGAGCTGCATAGCTCCAAAGCTGAAGTTGGAGAATCTGTCCACAGGACAACTATTGTGGCAAGAAGAAAACCGCTGTTGAAAGTAAACTATAAGAATTCCTGTTTAGAGGTTGCCACAAGCCATGTGGGAGACACAGCTAACTGTGGAAGAAGGTGCTCAGGTCAGATGAGACCAAAATGGAACGTTTTAGCCTCAATGCAGAACGCTGTGTGTCGTTGAAACTCAACACTGCCCATCACCCTTAGCACACAGTCCCAACAAAGGATTATGGTGGTGGTAGCATCATGCTGTGGGGATGCTTCTCTTCAACAGGTACGGGGAAACTAATCAGAATTCAGGGAAAGATGGATCGAGCCAAATCAAGGGCAATCCTTGAAGAAAATATGATGTAGTCTGCAAAAGACTTGGGGCTGGGGCGGAGGTTCATCCTCCAGCAGGACAATGACCCGAAACATGCAGCCAGAGCTCCAATGGAATGGTTTAGAAGATCAAATCACGGATGCTTTAAAATGGCCCAGTCAAAGCGGAGTCCAATTGAGGATCTTTGGACTCTGAAAATTGATTTTTCACAGACTGTCTCCATCTAATCTGACTTAGCTTCAGCTTTTTGAATGGACAAACATTTCCATCTCTAGATCCGCAAAGCTAGTGGAGACATACCCGTAAAGACTTGCGGCAGTAATTGTAGCGAAAGGGGGTTCTGCCACTCAGTTACCACCACTGTTATGAACTTAAACAGCTCCAGAATTATTATCTATAATATCTATTTTTTATTCCTGTGGAAACAGCTTCTCCAAACAACTGTGCTTATTTAAATTTCTGACCAAAAACTAAATCTGACAAGAGTTGGACACATCATGGGGTCGTCGTGGCGCAGGGGTTAGAGAATAGTCGAAGGGGGGACGGTGTGAGGCAGACAGACAGGAGACAAGACACAAGGGGCGACATATACGGGCCGATCGCATACAACTACATAGACTGAAGGGTAGGGGAAGGGAGGGGGCTACGGGTAAGCAGATGAGAAAAGATGTGTTTTGAGGCGGGACTGGAATGTGGTGATGGAGTCGGAGTCTCTGATGAGAATGGGGAGTGAGTTCCAGAGCTTGGGAGCTGCCCTGGAGAATGCTCTGTCCCCAAAGCTGCGGAGTTTGGATGTGGGGGTGAAAAGTAGTCTGGCCGAGGTGGATCTGAGGGACCGATGAGGTTGGTAGGGGGAAAGGAGTTCAGAGAGATAGGGAG